CCTCGGAGGGTATGAGGGAGTTGAAACTTGGGGTAGCGGAGGTGTGTATTACCAATAAGTCCATGGTTAGTCTTTGTTTAAGGGAAGATTCCTTGTGACAATACCAATGTGTGTGTTTGGTGCCATGCTGTAAATGGTGGAGATTGGAAGACCCCTCTGCAAATCTTGGCTATGAGTGTGTTTACAGCCAATGGTTTTGTTGTGCTGACTGTAAGTGAGGGCATGCTATATTCCTTGAAGGTGTGTTTATGATACCTGTATGGGAGCCCTTTGAAGCTCCAGAGCTTTAGTAAATCTACTACAAGTCTGGAAGGGTGATGAGTCAGTAGTGTTGAAAATGCATTGGTGTGTACAGATGGTGAATACGTTATTTGTAAGTTGTATTGGGACACATGGTTTGTCATGTGCCCTGAACTATTTGAACATAGTGCAACAGTCTGTATGCAATGCAACTACTCATATCAGTGGTCTCTGGTAGTTCAGAGGTGCTGGTACCTGGAGCCTGAGAGTGCTCGTCCATTTGTTTGGGACAAAATCCCTTCTGTATGGGTAACTGCACAAATAAACATCTCCACATATTCCAAATGCCAACCCAACCAAGGGATGGTCAGTTCCCGATTTACCTGGAATCCCTGGATCTGACCATCACAGATACATCATCATACATATATATGCCTTGCTTCCCCAATGTGCTGGGATCATACGTGCAGGTTTAACATCTTGTGTGTCATAAGAATTGATTGTACCAGGTAACAGAGTTTCAGTTGGTGCTGGTTGTACAGTAGCGTGAGGCCCAGCCTTGTGAGGGCTGTGGTGACCAACTCGAGATTGCCAGTCTGTCATAAATTTTTTGGCTCATGAGTTTATGAGTGAAGCTAGCATAGCCTGGGTGTCACCTGAGTTGATGTAGCTGGGCCTTCCCCTGCCTCCGTGTTGTCCGTTGATGTATGGAGGAGTTTGAATAACTGCTTTCCTTGCTGTAGCAGGGTAGGGGATTTGTCACCTCCTTAGGTCGGTGGTAATGTGTGGGATCGTCCAGGATCTGATTGCTGCTGGACTAGCAACATCTCCTCTGCTTGAAGGTGTATCAATTCTAGCCGGGGTGCTAGGAAGAGGTGATTCTTCACCATCTTTTTGAGAAATACTTAAATAACAATAAAGATTGCAATTATTATTTGTACCCAGGGTTCTTGTACTGGCTTGCTAGCTAAGCCGTAAGGCGAAACGATTAGGCTTGGTGTTTTTTGGTGACTGGTGAGGCCCTGCTAGTTGCCAAGTGGCTTGAGAGGCTCTATCTATGCTTGGCGCGAGGGGATTTTGTGTGGCCACCGAACGTTGTGGCAGGATGTTGGCCTCTCGGTGACAGTAACCAGAAAATAGGAAGGGGAGTGACAGGTGAGGTCCTCTCTATGATACAATGCGAGGCGACTAGCTCACGAGTGGCCCGAGGGGTGTATGCCTCCGAGTGTGAGGCGGGGTGTTGGCCTCGCGGGACCACTAACCGAAGCATAATGCAGAGAAAAAAGGGGGTAATACCTATTGGGCCCTAGAACCCTAATTGCCAGTACACTATTACTATTCCAGGGAAGGTAAGAGATGGATAACTACGTGAGCAGGTGTATGTACCTGGTAGTATGGTATTGAACCTGACAATCCGTATAGGTTTTTTAGTAGTAACTGTAACCTGAATGGATAAAACCGTATGGCATAAGGAAATATGGCATAGACCAAGCTTATCTTAATACGTACAGTATATGTGAAAAGTAAAGTGACGTGATGTGTAAATATTAAACATCGTAGCCATACTGGTTAAATATGTATCAATCTTAACCCATTAAGTGCTGTATGTACAAGTGAAAATGTGGTCTGTCCCCACCTTGTATGTTGCATGTCCCCTTGCTAGGGGAAGTCTGTTGCGGGAGCAGCGTGCTGTGAAAAATGTATGTGAACTATATTACCAGTTACATATATACAGATGCGTCTGCTACTGTGTAATAATATATGTATTTATACCAGATGTTGACATAGTGCTTGCTATGTGAATTGTTGTATGTCTTATTGAATGGTAGGGGTCAGTGAACATGGTGTTGCAAAATGCAAGTGCACTGGAGATCTGCCGAGTGCCCTATAGGTGGCAGTGTAGTTGGATACTGATTGGTATGTGAAATGTTGTTTGTCTGTTGACCTATAGGTGTCAGTGTTTTGGTGTTTGTAAAACCCCATGAAAATTGTCAATGTACTTGACAGACCTGTAGGTGGCAGTGTTGATAGAACCACTGTTGGTCTTGATGTGAAATGTAAATTATTGTGAATTAAACCTGAAGTTGAGCCCGTGCTGGAGTTTAATTTATGGTCTATAGTTATGTTTAAAACAATCTTATGTGTAATTTATATTGGCTGGTAAATTGTATATGACATGTGAAGACAGTTTTGCTGTTGACCAGTAGGGGTCAGAAATGCTGATTGTATGTTAAAATACCCTTTAACCCCTTAAGGACCAAACTTCTGGAATAAAAGGGGATCATTACACGTCACACATGTCATGTGTCCTTAAGGGGTTAATGCTACCATTTGACAGATAGGAGTCAGTATAAAAGCGAAAATGCTGTAGTTCGTTTGTTTGCTTATGAAGTGGAATAAAATCTGAGAAGCCTGTAGTATACTGATTGACCGGTAGGGGTCAGCATGTAGGCGAAAATGCCATGGTTAGTTGGTTTGTACATGAAATGCAATAATGTCTGAGAAGCCTGTAGTACACTGAATGACCTGTAGGGGTCAGTGTGTAGGCGCAAATGCAGTGGTTCGTTGGTTTGTACATGAAATGCAATAATGTCTGAGAAGCCTGTAGTACACTGAATGACTGGTAAGGGTCAGTGTGTAGGTGAAAATGCAGTGGTTTATGGTTTTGTACATGAAAAGCAAAAACGTCTAAGAAGCCTGTAGTACACCGAATGACTGATAGGGGTCAGTGTGTAGGTGAAAAATGCAGTGGTTTGTTGGTTTATACATGAAATGCAATAATGTCTGAGAAGCCCGTAGTACACCGAATGACCGGTAGGGGTCAGTGTGTAGGCGCAAATGCAGTGGTTCGTTGATTTGTACATGAAATGCGATAATATCTAAGAAGCCTGTAGTACACTAAATGACCAGTAGGGGTCAGTGTGTAGGCGCAAATGCAGTGATTCGTTGATTTGTACATGAAATGCAATAATGTCTGAGAAGCCTGTAGTACACCAAATGACCAGTAGGGGTCAGTGTGTAGGCGCAAATGCAGTGATTCGTTTATTTGTACATGAAATGCGATAATGTCTAAGAAGCCTGTAGTACACCAAAAACCGGTAGGGGTCAGTGTGTAGGTGAAAATGAGGTGGTTTATTGGTTTGTACATGAAAATGCAAAAAACGTCTAAGATGCCTGTAGTACCCCGAATGACCGATAGGGGTCAGTGTGTAGGTGAAAATGCGGTGTTTGGTTGGTTTTTACATGAAATGCAATAATGTCTGAGAAGCCAGTAGTACACCGAATGACCGGTAGGGGTCAGTGTGTAGGCGAAAATGCAGTGGTTCGTTGGTTTGTACATGAAATGCAATAATGTCTAAGAAGCCTGTAGTACACCCAAAGACCGGTAGGGGTCAGTGTGTAGGCGAAAATGCAGTGGTTCGTTGGTTTGTACATGAAATGCAATAATGTCTAAGAAGCCTGTAGTACACCCAAAGACCAGTAGGGGGTTTAAACGAATGATATGCATGAACATGCAATGGTTTTAGAACAGACATAGACAAAATGCAGCCGTAAAGTGAGGACCTGACCCGTGCATGGTGCCGTGGGACTGATGCCTGGCGTAACGGGTAGGTCGACTTACTGTTTGTGAGTCACTTGGACACCATCCACGGCGATGGATTGAAGAAAGAAGGTGGTAGGCCGGAAAAGCCTGTGGCTGGATTCCTGACACAGCTCTGCTTAGAAAACCTCATGGAGTAATCAGGTAAAATGGCGTCTGGATGACCCGGAAGTGGAAATCATTCTGATGCTGACCTCAAGCGATATGAGTCAGGTAAGGGGTGTCCCTTAAATATGGGGAGTGAATTTAAGCCCCTCCCACAAATACAGGCAAAACTGCCTTAATACATATATATATATGTGCATTGCTGGAAGGGTTTAATTCACAGTAAATTAAGCAATAGAGTGCCAAGTTATCACTTTTTATAAAAGGCACATTGAAGAGAGGGATACGCCGTGTTCAAACGTAGAAACTAATGAAACAGTATGACTGTAAAAACACTGGTGTAAACGGATACCTATCAATTCCCTATGATCTCTAGTAAAAAATACACACTCTCTTTTCCAGTTTATCAAACCTTTTTGTTTAAATAATTTGCATACTGACTTTTACTTGAAATTCATGGAGCGAAATGTTTGCTAAATTGAGACGGTTTTGAGAATTGAGATGTTTCTGCAATGTAAGGTCATTATTTCCCCAATACAACTATTTTGGTGTAATGTGTGCATAAATTTGGCCTAAATCTACATGATTCTGGATTACAGATTAACCCCATTACTAGTTCTACAGAATTGTAAATTAAAATATCTCACACTTATATGATAAAATACACAGTAAGAAATTAGGAACTAGAGGTTGGCACCCACCCCTATTTTTGTATCTAAATTAAAATTCTGTAAACTACACAAAACACAATGTAAGAGGAGAACTGGGGACACCCGCATACATTTAGCAGCAGTTTAATATAGATTTTAGCATCTTATGCATTCTGCCCCACCTATAATAATTTGTCCAATGCACATTATTTCAGTTTATAGAAACCCCTGAACTGGATTTGGATACATCTGGAAGTTCTCCTATTAATTAGATAAATTAACATCTGTTTATATTAAAAGTGCAAGATAAAAATAAATCACAGTACAAATATATTGCAAGGATATAGATATCTGTATGCTTTGATGCAGAATAGAATAATAAAGTGCAAATTGAAATTACTTGGCATATTTTAACCAACCACTAGAGGTCTCAATGGAGAAGAGACAAAGCATGCTCATTGTGAAGTCTTATTGAATAGACCTGGTCTTTGTAGCCTGGCTTTTGATAAAGCAATACATATGAATCATGCAGTTACCCCAAATAATGTAGCACCCATCCTTAAACAGATCTTTCTTGAATATCTAAGACAAATCTCAAACTATTGGGATTAATAATTGCAATTTTGTTTAATTCCAGGTAAAAGTATTTCACTTAGAATTAAGTATAATGTTTCACAATGATCTTGTGCTTTGAACCATACACATTTTGTTGTGAAATTGTCTCTCTGTATCCAATTACCACAAACTGTTAGGGTGCTTATCAGTGCCACAAAAAAATATATATAAAGTTACACAATAGTTCATTATTTTATCTGAAAACAAAAATAAAATGGCTTAATTATTCATACGGTTTTGTATTTACTTAACATACAAAAATGGCTGGGAGCAGCATCCTACAGCATGCCTAGCGCCCCTGTTTGCAATTTGTACTGCGAGAAATAACAGTCCTCAAAAAGGAGACAGATCTAAACTTTAGGTAAATAGAACATTTAATGAACATATTTACATTGGACTGCAATATTGCTGTGATGTCTACTACACATTTGTCTATTTTAAAGAAAAAGAAAATTAATTATTTCATTTGAAAAATACACTCCTGCTGCCGTTTGGGGTGATATATCCAATCAAGTATTAAGACAACCTTGGATCGTACCGTACAGCAACGTACACACAAACGCTACATTAAAATCACCAGCCAATATTCTGAATCCAACATGTTGCGTGATATCTCAGAAAGCGTTCGACAGGGAGGAGTTTTAGAATGCTTTAAAAACACGAATGAAACACTGAAAACATCTAAAAACATCCACATGGAAAATCAAAATAAAACCATTCAGCAGTGAGAGATTGATTTTTATTGATGGTAAATTCCCTTTAAGTCCATACCTAACACAATAAGTGAATTGGTTCTGAAAACACAAAATATAAGGATTTTTAAATAACATTTGTAGACTTGGTTATTATTACTTTACAGCAGATTTTCTAGGATACAATTTGAACAGGTAACATTAACACCCCCTATTTAGAGGTAAGTATTTCAAAAGAAAACACTTCTCTCATATTTAGGAGAGGCACCATTTGAACGGATAGGGCTATACTATGTTCTATACATCCCGGTCAGGAGCTTTGCCTAGGTCTAGAGCCGAGCGGCGCATTGACGTAAAAACCAAGTTCAGTGAGAACTCGTTATATAGTCCCTGCAGCTTCCTAAAGGTCCTTTTTTGAAAATGAATACAAGGATTATTGTGTTCACATTTCACAGTAGGTGTTTTCATTTTTTTTAAAGTGTAATTCCATTAAAAAAACACAATGAACATTCAACTAAGTATAATGTTGTAAATCTGAACAAATGTTTACCTGCAAATCATACTACATGTATCAGAAAACATTTCATAAATAAACCATGGGAGTGGATTGACAATGCGTCCCTTTCTCTCATAAGGGCATCTAAACCTCCACCGTAAATTATTTTCTTATCCAAATGAATCATTGAAAAAACTATAAAACTGAATTTAAAAAAGCACAGTTACTGCGCAAAATATAGTAAATGTATCCACGGTGTTCGAATCAATTGTACTGAGAATTGTAAACTTTAAATTTAAACTGGAAAAATCTATTTAACAACTATAAACTATTATCTATGATTTACAGTTCCCATTCTATATTTCCCAGTTTAGGGAATATGAACGTTTTTGATGTATACACCTGTTTTACGCTCTAATTTATATGCTATGACTTTTGATAGGATACCCCAACAATCTTAAATTTCACCAAAGATATGAACCTTCCCCGACAGGTTACAAATACATTTAAAATTCAGTGTATAAGAAAATAAGGTACAAAAAACCATTATCAACAAACGTTGGCTAAACAGCTTTGAAAGGCCACTAATTTTTTAAGGCATTACATAAACAAAATAAAAAATAGCCCTCTTCTTCATAAATTAATATGTGGGATAGCAGTAACGGCATCCCAGCAGGCAGCTTATCAGGACATAAGCTTTCGAGTATATTGAGTTTGACTGTCAGTTATTTAGAAACCACTCGGATAAGGAAAGGCGTGAGAAGTCGGTATTAGCCTCCTTACAGCGAATGGCAAAGCAGCGTGTTTTGTTCCTCTCTGTACTAGTTAAGAAAGGATCATCTGGTGTATATTGTTAGATTATGGTAACCAGTGCCTTTAGGACCAATTTCTCATTTCTAAACTGTGTGCCCATTAAGGTGCAAGGACATGAAATCTATTATTCATATTATTGCTGATGCTCTAATAAAATAAAGCAAATCTACTTGGTGGGCAATAGATAAAAAGTGAGGTAAAGGAGAGGGGGTCAGGGTTTTGTAACTCTTCCTGAAGTACCAATATATGATGTTGCCATGGAAACTCATATTGCATATATTAGGCCGTGTAATGTCCATTCTGGACCAAATTTGATACGTTTAACATTACTTTCTAAATTGATCCATACATTCCAAAATTAGCTTATTTCTCTAGATACCAGAATTATGAAAAGAAAAAAAATAATTATTTGACAGAAAGTAATACATTTTACCCTTAACCATCATCCAGAGTACGTTAATTGTCCACTAGGTTGAAAATCGTGGTTTGTAAGATGATCAGAAAAGGACCTAACATTTTTTTAGAAGAGCATCGCAAACAGAGAAACCCATGGATTGGCTGTGTATTACACCTTTAGTGTGTGTGCATGCCTCCCAGCAGTCAATGGTTTGTTCCCTAGTGTCCAACTACCTGGGGACACCAAGGAACGGTTTCCATAATTAGATTCAGGAGCAGTTTTTGAATGGGCATCCCTTAGTTGGAACAGCCAGACCAACTTATTGTCTGCCAAGTGTGCATTCAAGTGTGCAAAAATGATGACGCTGTCTCTGAGGGCAATTTATTTGACCCTACAGGTGAGGCTTTGCGTATATTTTTCATATCATTACAGAAAATGTAGGTCCATGGCAACTGTTGGGACAAGACTATTCAAGACATCTATTCTACCAGGTACTTTAGATCTGCTTTGTAAAAGAGTTAAAATAAATGTACATGTACAGAAACCCTTTGTATGGGCCTGTGTAAGGCACATGCAGTATATTGCACACCCTGCCATGTTAAATGCATCTCGGTCTGATCTCTTATTACACAGACTAGCAGGATTAACAAGGATATAAGGTTTGTAAACTATATTACACTTGGCTTCTTTTAAATAAAAACAGCACCCAGTCTGACTACCGGTAACAAGACACGGCCACACTAGGTTCAATAAGATAACAGTAAAAACTGAATTTAAAAAATAAAATACATTCCTACTCTTATGGCAGGAAAATACTTTTAAAAAAATAAAAATTGAAATTTAACAGTTGTTTCAACTTTGACCTTAAAATGTCAATAAAAAAAGAAATTAAAAATCAAGTTGTAAAAGTCAGGGGTATGTCGTTCAGTCTTTGCTTTCTTTGAGGACGGTGTGTATAAACAATGTGGCTGATGGATAGGGGTCTCCACTCTTGCGAAGAAGATGGATGTGGCGATAGCCTTGTGGAGAAAAAAGAAGGAATATAATTGGATTAATGTATTAGACACATATAGCACACTGTATGTACGTAACAAATAAAGTGAGCTACGTATTATTATTATTATTTATATAGCGCCATCAGATTCCGTAGCGCTGTACAAAGCATACTCCCATAATGCACACTCGGCAGCTTAATTCACAAGACAAAACAGAATCTTTGAAAACACACTTATTCAGGAATGTATATAATTTATTTATCCCCCGCCTCCCATAACCTAAGTTCTCAGTGATTACTTATCTAGCAACCTATTTTATTACCCCTACTTATACCTTTTGTGTCACTATACCCCACTCCCTCTAGCTTGTAAGCTCATTGAGCAGGGCCCTCAACCCCTCTGTTCATGTGTGTCCATTTGTCTGGTTACAATTACGTGTGTTAGTCCACCTATTGTACAACGCTACGGAATTTGCTGGCACTATATAAATAAATCACTATTATTATTATTATTTTTTTATTAATCAGTGCAGTTGGTAATCAGTTAAATTAATAATTCCTCGGTCTCTCGATCTCGCTTTACAAAATGCTAAACTAAATATATAAAAATCTGAAAAATCCATTATAGCAGGATGAGCTAACCTTACATATTGTTCTGTGTAGCAATACCTGCAATTTGAAATTAGATTAACAAGATTTTATTAATGATTTGCTGTGAATATTGTTTTGAGCATCTGTAATAATACTAATTAATAATTTTGTGAGATTTACTGAGTGAAGAAAAGTTCTGCAAAGTCGATAGCTTTAATTTTTCGCAAACATCTGCCAAACACATTTTGTTGCGTTGCTTTTTTCCGCAACAAACCTCTTTATGCGGCACTGAAGTTGCATTAGTTTATGGAAACATGACATGGGAGACTGTAAGCTCTATGGGCAAACAATGAAAGTTTATTCTACCTCTCTTTATTATTGTTCTTAACTTACTGAATCTGCCTTTCACTGTGCTAACCACTATAAAGGACATGATAGATAGGTAATAGATAGAGTTGCAGAGACAAAGATAGGGCAGAGAGACACAGACAATGAGACAGTACATGCAGATAGACACAAGCAGATTCAACTTCTCTTGTTAATAAATTTAGACATGCATACAATGAGAGAATACTCTGCAGACAATTGCAGACAAAGGCCGTTTTCCTGGAGAAATAATTGTACCTAATTGTAAACTTGTCAATGGAACGGTGTATTGCCCAATAAAGTCATTACGCGTGGCAGCATCGTAGTCTTCCACCAAAAATCTAACCAGCACCAGGGCAGGTACATCTATATCAAACTCAAACTGCTCGTTCCACACAGGGTTAAAACCTGCAAAAGATGACATACAGGTTAAGTATTTAGAACGAACGCAAAACAATAAGCTGAATTAGTGTCTTTATGAGAAACCTGATACAAGTCACTGCCCCTTTAAAGGGGAACAGGAGGTAAATTTGACCCAAACCTTTCCTTACCGTTGTTATTGATGACTTTGGTATGCTTTTTGTCATTATCGCGGGCCACTCCATGGATTTCTACGATCACGGTTGGATCCACTATAGAGCTTTTCTTCTGGTTCACTTTGGGCAGCTGCTGTCCGGAGATCACCTATAGGATGACGACAGGCACAAAGAAACCGTGTAATATACAATGGATAATTACAACATTTAACCATAGTCTGAAATAATCTTGTTAATCTTCACCATGACATGTTCCCTTCAGTCATTCTATTTTCCTGGAGAATTATTTTAAACCAATTTTATAATACTCTAAGGGATATTAATGGAAGACATTCATTCTTCAACGCTACATGTATAAAGTGAGAGTCCCTCCATACTAAGTAGAAGCCAGGGAGACTTAGAGAAACATACTGGAGGAATCCTAGCTAAGCATTGATATACTCCAGGCATGCGATATAATGAAATATAAAGTAAGAGAGCAACAGAATGATAAAAACACAGAGCAGGATAGCTTGGAAGTTACATAGAAAGATAGAGACACATTTACTACAAAATAATGACAAAAACACAGCCAGAGAGAGAGCAGCTTCTTTATCCTCATATTAAACCTGTCACAATGATGCTGATCAATACGTAACCTTAATTTGTAGCTTTTTGGGCGTCCACCATTCTCCTTCTTGAATTGATTTGGGGTTAAATTTGGACGTCGACTGCCGCAGGAACTCTGGCTTAAGGACATACCCGCAGAAACCGTTTTGCTGGAACAGACCCTGGTACACGTCCATCTCTGCTCCGGGGGTTTGGAAATTTAAAGCCACTGAGTAAACAAACAATACATCGTGAAACTGCGCTCTGTGTGACATGGATAAATGATACATAACTGAATAAAAAGAATAAAAGATTCATTTACAATCCAGCGTGTGATCTCAGATTTAAATAAATGTAAAGGAAAACAGCCCAAACACACAGACAGAATTTAATATCAGATTTATTTTTTGTTATTCTATGGGAAATGGATCCAATTTTGGCACCAAGCACAGTAATGCTGCCGGCTGTTTCAAGAAACCTGAGAAAATGTTGGCTGCTCTCTCTAAGATTCCAGGCACAATTACATGGCAGCAGTGGAAAAATCAGAGAGTGAAGCTTGCAAAGACAAATATTTAAGAAAAGGAATCACTGCAGGACGAATCACCCAGTAAATTGGGGAATTAACCAATATAACAGGAGCGTGTTTTTCTCATAATCCTCAGGTAGAAAGACATTAGGGGAGATTTGTAAAAGGGGAATGTTAAAGGGGAGGGGTTACCAAATGAAGTTACCTGCTGGTTTCACTGGTTTCCATAGTAATAGCACCACTTCTAGTACAAATGTACTTACCTATTTGGCACCCTGTGTTCCACATGTCCACGGCACTGTAGTTGGAAGAGTCTGTCCTCATGCCATCTGGATAAATTCGGCTCAGCTGTCTGGTATTGTGCTGAATAAAACCAGTTCCTTAGAAGAAACGTAAAACAAAGTGCTTGTATGAAAAAAACGTTAATCAACCCCTAATTAATTAATAAAATAAATTAAATAAAGGAGTAACCAGTATGGCCAACCTAAAGTCCCATTACAGCACATACACACAATAATCCAGTAACACAACACCAGGAGCAGCCCTTCCAGATAGGGGAAGAGGGGTGGCGAGGATTTATTTACCAGCATGTAAAAGCTATGGTGAAGGACATATATTGGATGCCAAGCAAAGTTTGGCTCTGAAATGTGGAATCTTTTGGAGGAAGTTATTGACAACAAGCTCTTCATTAGTGTTAAATGCAAGGTTGAAAATATGAAAATATGAAAAAGTCAGCAATTTGATATGATGTAATGATGGTAATCTTTGGTGCATATGTCCAGATGGGCATGATAGGAGCTGGAATACAAATCTGAGCCATCACAGCTAGAATGTGCTTTAGCAGACTGCATATATTACAAATCTGGGGGAGGAGACAGGTGCATTATAACATGTCCAGGACAGAAATGTAGCGTGCCATGGTTTAGTAGTGGATTATAAAGTCTAGAAGTATGAGTTTAATAGGCAATGTTTCCTCCCAAATCATCTAATAATTTGTTTCAGTTATTTTGGATAAGAGAAGATACAAGAACCAGGTCATTACAGACACTACAATAAATACAAAACTAAACAATAGCTAAAATAACAAATATTCAATAAAACGGCTCACCTGACTCGTGTGCCAGCTTCAGAGCCTTGCTCTCGGTTAAGGAGGACATCTCGTAGAAGGATTGGTTCTTAAGTGCATATTCAAAACCTCGGAAGTGAACACTCTTGCAGTAAATCACAGTGTCTGACAGTTCTTTGGCAAGTTTCAACTTTGCACTCTAGAGAAAAAGACAGAAAAAAAGCTAAAATCTGTGCATCTTCTTAAATAAATATATATATACACACACACACACATACACATACACATCTCCAGCTGTAGATTAAAAAAAAAAAAAAAAAAAATCAGGTACGTTTCCAGATAAAATATAACTGCCTTAATGTAAGGTGCCAAATTCATGGACATCGGGGATCTTGATTTTAAAAGTTATTGCAGTCTGCAAGTATATGCATCCTCCCCCCTTTTCCCTTACAGCTGCTATTCTACAGTAGCATTGAGGGGGGCAGAAGATGTCCCATGCAATCCCTCGGCACAATGTAGAAGGCTTGTTTGCAGCATCAGTTGAGGACCAGAGTGGGAGCAATGAGGAAGGTAATACAAATGTAAATCTGCGTATACACAAGGTTGGAAAGAAAGAAAATAAAAAATACTCTCGCATTTTAGGTCAACACAACAAACCATTTCTCCTTTTTCACAAAAAGGTCTGATGGCAAGTTCACTTTAAATTATAAAAATAACACACTCTTCTAGTGTCACCACTTAGATTATTTAGTTTTAAGATCACTCGCACTGACCGCAGTCTTTTTCGCTTGCACGTTGGATTTCACAGCCTCATCATCCATATCTGCAGCTTCATCTTCATCGGACACGTCTGCAGCCTCCGTGTGGGCATTGTTCTCTTTCTGCAGACTGTCTTCCAGTTTATTCAGCTTTTTGCCTTTTACCAAGACTTTGTCCTTTAGTTGCTGATGGGAGAGGAGAAAGTCTTAAGTGAGGGCTGTATTCAACAACAACGACAGGTACTGGGGTAAAAGGGTCAGCAATGAAATGAAATGTCAATGAAATTCCACGCAGAGGAAAATACACATTTACAGCTCAGTCTGTGCTGCTACATGAAGCATTGCGTCTTAGAAACAAGAGAATACCTAACTGAGCCATTTACTGTCAAAGCTGCATTCTGATTGGCTGCTTAGTTTTTCCAGCCAATCAGCTTTCTTAGATACACACGAACTAGGAGCAGGTGAAGTGTCAAGCTGAAAGTTAATATTTATTTTTTGATGTTTCACTTATGATGCCCTTTATTATAATGTTTGCTTTGGTTTTTTTTTGTCACTTTTCACAAATGAATTATTTTAATGGTCTGCTCTACTTTCCAACCTCTTTTTTCCCCAAAGTCTTTTTCTATTTTCCCCCTCAATATAACGTTTGTCATATATGTAATGGGGGGATTACAGGACACCTACAAACCCTATAATCCCCCCCAAAGGAGATCACAGCCCCACCCAAAGCCCTATAATAAAATATATATTACTGAGGTGGGAGGGGCATCAATTTAAATTAAAATCTTACATTTCTGGATCACAAGATTATATATCTGGGCCATCACATGGTAAAAAGACAGAGATATCAAAAATAAAAGGAAAACTTAAATATAATTAAATATAATACAACCGGGTGTATAAAAATATACAAAATCTAGGAAAGGAAAAAACACAAATATAGTGTAATACAGCTAAAAATAAAGTGCCTGGAAAGGGCAGGTAGAGAACTCACAAGATAACGGTAAGTTATAGGCATTTGAAATGCCGTGTTATATCCTCAGATTGAATTGTGAATTGTGTGTTTTGTTGAGAATTTGTTAACTACTAATATCCATAAGAATTTACAAACCTCTGGAGAGGGGAACTCTTTTATCATTCCATCGAAAGGCGCAGTGAGCAGATTATTTCCCAGAATGTTCTTCATGTGCTTGGCCATAGTTTTCTGCTGCTCAAGGCTACAATGGTTCTCCAGTGAGATTATCACAGGGTACCGTGACGTCTTCATGGGAAAAAGCAAACTAAAGATGTTAGACTGAACCACTGCACATCGAACTATGAGAATCAGGTGTAAAAATGCTTTGAAATGTGCTAGTGTCTTAACAAACAGTCAACACATTTTTATGGGCTATTTATAAAAAATGGTTATTTTAAACACAATAAAGTGAAGGTAGGTGTGTCGGGGACAATGCATTCAGACTCAATTCTTATTTAACATAACATAATTGAATAGGAGAGGTAACTAGTTAGGAACAAGTTAAAGATAATAGTAAGGCTTGCTAAAAGGTTTTAATTTAGATCAGAAGCTGGCCTTTTATGCAAATTCTGATTTATTTTTGCGCATGGATACAAAAGGAATTATGGGGAGAATCTTGAAGAGGTGGCATCAGCAGGAAATGTAAACATGGGGAGTTTTATACTTCCATCCACTGGGACACGAAATGCTTTCAAGGAAAAGAGGAACGATCCTTACCAAAATAATTAGAGTTCCTCTTATTCATTGAACATCATAGGAATGCACTATAACCACATTCCTAACTTAAATCAAAACTATTGGGCTCTTCCATTTTGCATCAAATCATTTGTATTTGACTTTTCCTTTAAATTGTAAAATAAACAAACAAACAGGAGAGACAGGCAGCAGAGTTCCTTGTTTACTATCCCACTTTTCTCTTCCCCTGTTCGATCTGCATGCAGGCTAGCGTGTCGCGTTCCATCTCTAGGAAACGATAATTCCCATGATGCTTTGCAAGCGAAAGAGCTCTCCCCGAACACACCATTGGCAGCTTAAGATCATCATTATTATTATTATTTATTTTACATTTAAAAATAGCTCTACTAGCATCCAGATTCTGGCTGTCCCACTATCTACAGGGTGACATAATTTCCCTCTAGGGTGGAACAGAACTGCATCCCAGAGGAAGGATATTAACAATAGAAACATCCAGATAAAGCCTTCACTTTCCATTCTCAAGCAATTATCAGAGAAGACAGGTCTGCAGACAGACGGCCTGCATCATTCTGCTAATAGCAATCTCTGCAGATAAATAAAGGAACATACCGGGCTGGGTGGGGGATAATGCCTTATTTACATAATGAATTACAACAAGCAAGCAACACACAGAATTATATTATAAATAGATAGATAGATACACACATACACACATAATAGCAAAATGATTCCCCTTGGAATTCTCTTAATTTGCTGTAAATCTGAAGGCACCAGGAAGTGGCAGGGATCTGTTGGCTGATCCTGACCTTAAAATATTTTATTATGTTCATATACGAAATGTTTCCGTCCAGATAGAACCTTTGCTCCCTTTGTGATACAATGTGAGAGAAGTGTTTTAAATACATCGATTTCCTTATATATCTGCTCCTATAGTGAATAGCATAGGGAAAGGGGGATATGCACCTTATTTTACCATATACTATGCAAGGAGCATGAGTACCTAGAATGCCTGGATTGTTCCTCTAAAATCAGGGCCGGTGTTCGTTCCATTTTGGTATCATTTGCAGTGACAAACAATAAATACACAGATTGTATGCAATTGCTATTTTAGATCACTGCAAATGCTTACTTACTAATGTTTTTTAATCCAATCTGATTCCCAACAGTCTATTTTAATTTCTCAGTGGGAAATGGGGCTTCCCCAGTCACGAGCGGATGAACATGTATTGTTTATTGACTTTTTACCTTGGATCCTGACTTACTTTAAAGGCGTAGTTTTTAATGGCCGTTATGACGTCTTTGAAGAGGATCTTTGAAGTGAGAGTGTAACCATGATAAATAACTGGCTCGCCATTAGGCCCATCCCAACAATCCAATTCCACACATCGGCATCCCCGCGACAGAGCCCTGAGTGGAAAAAACACAAACAGAAAAATGTTTTAAAACTCGAATTGAAAACACACAACAATGAAATTCAATCATGGTGATATCACTTTTAGAACTTTCTACCAACTGCTCGCTGTACACAACTTCTGCTATCCATTAGTACAGATTACAACCTCGTATGTGGTTTTGTTCATGTAATAGTTAATTCAGTGGATAAAAAAAAAAAAAAAAAAGAGTGAAATCATAAAGATAGCAAAGCATGAAAGAGGCCTCCTAGCAGGCTTCAGAAGCTCAGCCCGTCTGTCTGCGATTGAGCAATACTTTAAAGAAATATCTAGAAAGAGAGGCGTCTCAGGTGCTTCTAGGAAGGCTTAGACTGCATAAAGAAAAACGAAAACATCTGCTCATAAATAAATATGGACACACAAAACCATTATCATGTGTTGTCAAACTTCTCCAGGGGAAATGGAACATTAAATATCCAGTTCAGTTCCTCTCTTTTTGGACATTAATGTGGTCATCGCTGCACTTATTGCTCGTTGAATATTTATACAAGTATCTAATAATTGACACTGGAAAGTTTATTATTTTTGGTTTTTTTGAGACTTTGTAACTAGAAGACTGGTGGAGCAGGATGAGAATTGTAATCTCGGGAAAAGGTTTGTTATCAATTTACTTTACAATGGGCTGGATATCCTCATTTGTCCTCTTAAGCGTCAATAAGTGTACAATATGAGAACAAGTTAATTTCCTTGACATGGTTAGCTATGCAAAACACTTGAAAGAGGCCTGTTATGTTAAAAGGTTATTTCAAGCATCATAACCAACGCAACACGCGATAGTGATTATGATGCCAGAAGTACGCTGGCACTGGTAATAGGTCATGCCATTTTGCCATCTAAACTGGGTCCAGCTGGGCGCCATCTCCGCTCTGCAGCAGGCCAACGACATCAGGTCACTGCAGGGCTGCAGAGGTCAGATGCCGATCCTGTTGCTTACTCATTGGCTGACAGCGTTAGCTGAGCGCTCGCAGCCAATGAATGAGCATCTTTGCATAGGATATGCACAGAACTGACATCAGTTGCTAATAATGTACTAATGACGCTTCCAGAGGTGGACTAACATCTCGGGCACCTCTGTGGAGACTCCTAGAAAAACACAGCACTCCAACCACCATAATTCCTGAAATCAGCTGACTCCTTTGACATCTCTAGAGCAGTCCATTAAATGATTTTACACTTGAAGCATGGATAACCCACATACTGTTGGGCAGCACGTCCACACCTTTAATGAAAGAATGTACAATTCAAAAGCATTCCATACAAAAATATAGTAACCTGGCAACCTCGCAATCAATACACTGCAGTAAATTATAACTGTAAGGAAGTAAAATCAGGTAATAATGTCCTATGGTAAAACACCGTGTATGTTGTCATAAAACAAGAGTGATGATGTACCTGATGTAGGCCTCAGTACTGCTTGGACCTTTCAGCTGGTCTTCCATCAGGTACGTATTGTGAGAGGATGAGATAAAGTAATGAGACAGAGGTTGCGTCATGTCTTGGTAAACCTTCCGATGAGCTGGGTTAAATATATTTCCATCATCAGACAGCAGATACATGAGGAGTCCATCTTTTGTCATCGAGTTTTGCTTTTTGGCTGCAACAAAGTGTGCCAGAGAAGATCAGTTGTGTGCAGCCATTAAAGCAGGATACAACAGGCTCCATACTAGTTTTGTGTAGCCAGCTTTCCATGCCCATCTACCACATTAGGCCATAGTTGAACATATTGAAGATATGTTTATCTTTCATCCAAATCTGGGTTTAATGGCTACATTGGTTTAGGTATCTTCAACTTGGTGGAACAGATCGGTGCAACACATGGACATGAGATAGGAAAACCCTCAAGGAGTCTTTCAAGCAGTGTAATTTGAAATAGGACGTTACAAGATATATATAAAAAATATATATTATTTTCCTCTATAACAGGACTTACCTACTTCACTTGGTTCATACTTTTCGATCAGGTTCTTCACTTGTTCTAGACTCACGTTCTCGCCTTGTTCCTTTAGTAGGAATTGTTTCAGGCTTTCTGCGGAGATCAGATCGTTGCTATCGAAGTACGTCTTGAACATTCCATCCACCTCAGGTCGCTCTGTCAGTAGTTTGTAAAATGCCTCAATTTCATCACCTTCCAGAGAGCCCGACTTTGATGTGTCACATGTCTGGAAATCAAAAGTTGATAAATAAGAATCTTTAATACTCGTGATGTCACGCTTGCCCTGGGCTAAATTCTACATAATAAAACATTTTAGTATTTATAGGTGTCACAGGGATAAATTGATGTGCCTAACTGGTAGGTGTAACAACACGTGACCATTCCATTGCCTTGTATTGAATATACACAAAATATATTATATTTAGGGCAGGCAGAGAACAAACATTAACAAGCACTAAGTAAATAGGAAAGTTGATTTAATAAGAGTAAAGCCATTGAGTGCATATCTGCTGTACAGATTCTGCTATAGAAAGCTATCAGAGAACATGTAAAAGTCAGGAGTTGCATTATCCATGTGCATGTCATACAAGATCAGGCATAGGGAGGAGAAACCTAGCTTCCAGATGAAGTGATGGAGTTGCTAGAGGGATGGGTGGCTATAATGATTAGAAGAAAGAGGGACAGGGACAGGGGATCTCTTAGCACCAATAATATTGAGGATTCCTGAAACAGAAGTGAAAGCAATTTATATTTTGTTCTTACATACATTGACTTGACTTACTGAAATTCTACATGCAGCCATTAGATCATTGGTCTTCTCGATAAAACATTTAATATAGCTGGAAACGTAAACAGCTGAGGCTAAACTACTATGCGGAATCCTGTGTTTTGGTCATGTCCTCTGAATGAAATTTCAGGAAGGACTGGAGAACTGAATACATTCTTTTTAAAAGGTCAGAAATCCTCCAAGTAGTTTCTCAGCTCTGTGGAATGCAGATTGAAGACCGTACTATAGTGTCTATATTTGCAGTTTTTCTGTATTTTGCCTCTTTTACATTTACACATCGATAGCTCTTGGTCTCTCCAGTAATTTCCTGGCCAAAACCTTTGGGCTAGGTCTTTCCATATTTTTCACTTCTGTGTTTACAGGATTAAGGTGTACTTTGGAGAGTGTCCAGGTCACCTGTTGTGGATTTTTTATATCATGGAACTTCCTTTGCCAGACATACTTGGCTTTCACAATAGGAACAATATTAGGAATGTTCTTCTGGATATTTTTCTATTTACCTTTTTGAGCATTCTGAAATATTTTGCATGAGACTGGGAGAAGCTAAGAACAGATATTACTGAGCTGACTGGCTTGACCTTTTTTTATACTATTATAGCTTTTTTTACGGTTAGTATTTTATTTTGTTCTCTCTCGTCTCTATCAAGAGATCTTTAGTTTGTTTGAGAGAATAGTAAACCAGATATTTTTACATCATAAATATACAGTGCTATTGTCATTTACCTAAGCAAACATATTCCTTATCAGACCATATTGTGGGTGAAAAGACTGCTTCACATCAGAAACACAGAAAAAAATAAAAATAATAAAATAATAAACACAATTAAAAATACACTATTTAAAAAAAAAAAAAAAAAAAAAACTATCTGGGATTTTACCGTCATGAAATGAAATAAATATTCTTATTCAATAAACTGGCTAGCATTTGTTCTATAATTTTCTTAAAAGGTGAAATCCCTAACTTTTGCAGATGACTTGTAACAATGATCAGTTACAAGGAATGTTTGTAAATCAGAGATCGGGCATACTCAGCCAGACATGTTAAGGTACTTTCCATATGATACTATACCTGGAATATTGTTGCAGCATAGTGGTCGTCAGCCTGGATATTCACTTCCTGCAGGAAGTTCTTCAGCTCTTTTAAGTTCATTTTGTTGTCTTTGTTTTTGTCAGATTTTCTAAGACAAGTATGGATCCAGCTGATTATGTAATTAAGAACAATAAATCACGAAATTAACACGATCTGAACTCTTAAGTTGACCATGGTAAGAAACACCAGGTCTGTGGCCAACTTCTGGCCTCGATTTACTATTTTTAGATAAACTTTTCAAATGATCACGTACTGTTAGAAAAACGTTACTAATGATTTATCTACAGAAATCACCATTAAAGTCTATGGGAACCATTTGAAGTTCTATTAACAGATTGTGATCATTAAAAAAAGCTGATCCAAAAATATTAAAATCAAGGCCTTCATTTAAAAATGGCCTGAAACTAGAACCAAAGTAATCGAAGGAACATGGTAATATATGCAAAGTCTATCAATAGAACAAAACTGTTAGGATACCCATGGAAGTTTAACTAGAACAAATGACAGTGGCTGACCATGGAAATCAAGAAAACCAATTCCTGAACCCAGAACCCAATTCTTTGCTTGGCCATAGTAAGAAATACAAAGCATAAACCTAAAACCAAAGTCTTTGAATTAACACAACATCTGAACCAAGAACTAAACTCTTCGGATAACAGCGGTAGTGGACACCAATTCTGGACCTAGAACGGAACTCCGAGGATAACAACGGTAATGGGCCCAAGCTTGGTACCTGAAATCAGGGCCAATTGACAAGTTTGCTCCTACAGTGAGCAAAACCAAAATAAAAATAAATAAAAAACACATCAAACTTATATTTAATTTGTCAAGGACCTGAAGACGTTTATCCGGCATCACGAACTACCTACATCACAAATAGAAAAGGGCGACAAATGTGATTTTTACACCTTGAATATGTGCTTTTGTAAGACTTATTAAGTTAAATAACATTATGCACCCATTAACCTGTATTATGATGTTGGGTATACTACAATTAACCTGCATCTAACTAGTCAAATTCAGTTGAATCCCGAATGATAGCAATACTAAGTATACGGACAGCTCCTTATGAGTTACTCAACGTGTCAGAGACCTGTCACCATCTGGGTGAAACATGAAGCGGTCTGGTTTATAGCTCCTTTAAAGAGCACGGTCACTAGATTTTCAGTTAAGAAAACAGAACATACATAAAATCACCCAGAATTCTGAAGATGAAACTCAGGGATCATAACTGTAGTTATCCGAGGCAGAAGTTCTAGCCTGCGGCATTTTTAATAACTTGCCTGCATTAATTCTGCTCCAACATCTAGCTATTAGAAAAGAAAGGGGAAGGGATTAAATAATGCATGAAGGACCATCTTTAATAATCTAGGGTTTGGCAGCTGATTTTTTGACCGAGTAAATTCAGAATTCTTCACAGTTGGTATAGAGTCATTCATCACCGCTATGGATGGACACCGAGGTCTTCTCCAGAACAAGTATTACATATGGCATTTTTTTGTGCCACGAATTATCACTGAAACAAAAAAAAAATATATGTTTGTTTTTATTTTTCCCCTTTGTATATCTTTATCCAGGAGCCTACGCCCTTCTCTCTAAAACTCCCTATAATTAAGGGCATATGTGTAGTCTCACATTAAAGAGATAAAAGTGGCTTAAACAAAATACCGCAAAAACATACAGTAAACACGGAGCAGGCAAGATTCCCCGTCATTACAGGCTCATTGTAGCCAGTTTTAGACGCAGATACTGCCACGGTATTAAAAGAGTCATGGTACTGTATGAACACTGAGTGTGGGGTCATTAAAGGCTTGAGCAAAGTCAAGTTTAGGAATCAGCACAGAAAATGCTTATTACAGCAAAGCTTAAAACTTAATGTAACATTATTTAGAGAGCTATAAATGAGACCAGTACCCTTTAAGAATGGGTCATTCCTTTTAAGAATGCACTTTGGCTGATATGTTGCTAATCATTAAACACACAGCCTGGTTTGGACAAGTTTAAATGAAATAAAACTAATTTCAAACAAACATCACACTATTGCGTGCACAAAATGATTTATTGATGTCTAATTGACCTCTCGGTTTGTAGTATCTACAAGGCAAGATTATGCTCTTTTGTTATGTACACACCCTGGAAACTCGCATCACATAGGAAAAACCAGTGATACATTAACACATTATGTGCCGGGGGTGTGACCAAACTGCAAAGCAATGTATTGGGCACCTTTATGGAATTTAAGGGATAATCTGCTGAATTACAGTGGGTGAAGTGACTGTCGCGGGAGAAGTCAACAATGAGGGACAGACACACTGCTATGTGCAAGACATCTATATACATGGAATAAAATTAGGTAGTGCCCACCTAGATACACAGGGTTTTATTTACCCTGCTGTATGCTGGCTGGCGAGGTAGTGCCCACCCAGATACACAGGGTTTTCTTTACCCTGCTATATACAGGCTGGCGAGGTAGTGCCCACCTAGATACACAGGGTTTTCTTTACCCTGCTATATACTGGCTGGCGAGGTAGTGCCCACCCAGATATACAGGGTTTAATTTACCCTGCTGTATACTGGCTGGTGAGGTAGTGCCCACCTAGATACACAGGGTTTTATTTACCCTGCTGTATACTGGCTGGCGAGGTAGTGCCCACCTAGATACACAGGGTTTTCTTTACCCTGCTATATACTGGCTGGCGAGGTAGTGCCCACCCAGATATACAGGGTTTAATTTACCCTGCTGTATACTGGCTGGTGAGGTAGTGCCCACCTAGATACACAGGGTTTTATTTACCCTGCTGTATACTGGCTGGCGAGGTAGTGCCCACCTAGATACACAGGGTTTTCTTTACCCTGCTATATACTGGCTGGCGAGGTAGTGCCCACCCAGATATACAGGGTTTAATTTACCCTGCTGTAGACTAGCTGGCGAGGTAGTGCCCACCTAGATACATAGGGTTTTCTTTACCCTGCTGTATACTGGCTGGTGAGGTAGTGCCCACCTATATACACAGGGTTTAATTTACCCTGCTGTATACTGGCTGGTGAGGTAGTGCCCACCTAGATATACAGGGTTTTATTTACCCTGCTGTATACTGGCTGGTGAGGTAGCGCCCACCTAGATACACAGGGTTTTATTTACCCTGCTGTATACTGGCTGGCGAGGTAGCGCCCACCTAGATGCACAGGGTTTATTTACCCTGCTGTAGACTGGCTGGCAAATTAGTGCCCACCTAAATACACAGTATTTTATTTACCCTGCAGTAGACTGGCTGGCAAGGTAGTGCCCACCTAGATACATATGGTTTTCTTTACCCTGCTGTATTCCTTGCTGGCAAGGTAGTGCCCACCTATATATACAGTATTTTATTTACCCTGCTGTATACTGGCTGGCGAGGTAGTGCCCACCCAGATACACAGTATTTTATTTAACCGGCTGGCGAGGTAGTGCCCACCCAGATACACAGTATTTTATTTAACCGGCTGGCGAGGAAGTGCCCACCCAGATACACAGTATTTTATTTAACCCGCTGGCGAGGTAGTGTCCAGTCTTCAGGCCATGTACTGGGATACTGGCCCAGCCTCCTTCCCCCATAACCTAAGCTTTGCCTTTACTTAAAGAACCAGAAGTGAAGCATCCTCACTAACCTTCACTACAGAAAATACTGTACAATAACCACCCTACATGCTATTCCACTAATAGCAGATTAATATGATTGATATTATTTTTCCAAACACAATGAACACCAAGAAAAAAATAAATTAATTAATAAATAAAATTTTGCATCACACTCAAAATAAATCTCATCCACAAACAAATGTATTTCAGGTACATATAGTCCAGTGACTGATGGGTGGCCATGCCAGCAAGAAACTACCTCAATGGTAACAGATTAGTGCCAGCCAATCCCAATGCAAATGTTGGAGATTCCATCCTCACTGTATTTCAATGTGAATTGGGGTGCGCCATTTCATACAAAATTAGAACTGCGGCAGCTTCCCTCTACCTTCACCAGACAGATTACATGGGAATATTTAGCATGGCTAAATCACATTTATTCTGGTTTTCCTGAAGAACATTCATACCCATCTACATCTTTACCACCGCGTCATTCTGTGGGTTACACTTCTGGCCTGGAACAGTTTAACATTGTTTAACCTTTAAAAAACAGATGCTTCATTTGTCTTGTTTGTGTTTCAATGATAATTTTTTTTTTTTAATGTAATGGTGTCCATTCTATCAACCTGGGAAGCTCTGAAAACAAATGTACAGAACAGGAGTAAACATGTATCTGCTACTCTATGGGACATCGCTGTCCCATCTTAGCCATGACCTCTGATACCAATTCCACAAGTTTGGCTAAATTTCATGCGTACATCACACCGAGCTGGAAGGATACTGCTTGAGCTTCTGATTCTGGCTCATGGATTTACAGTTGGTTAAGATTTTTTCGAGGCCGACAGTCCAGTGACCAGCCACCTCACTACTGGCAGCAATAAGGTCCAGGTTCTTCCGCTGACCTTTAAAGATGATGGAAAAGCAACGATCTTCTGGGATGTCCTTGGCGTGTTTCTGCATCCCTTCCGTCTGATGGCCATGCCGCACATCCTCAATGTCATCAACGCAAACTGTTAACACAAAAACAGAAACTGCAATAAGACTACACCTGGCCACCAATGTCTGATGGAATAAGTACACCCCAAAACAAGCAATATAGAAACTGAGGTGATGAAACAGGCAATGTGTTCAACAAATTAACTTTGCTTCCTTTATAGAAGAATGCGTTAACATTTTAGCAAAGATTTGTAATGAAAAACAAAATGCTATAAGAGTTAAGAAACACAAAGCGGGAAGGAGACTGATCACGCCTGCTTTTAAATTTATTTTGTATTAGAAAGGGAGAAAATATGCTAAAAGATTACAGTCAATAGTTGCAGTATTACACAAACACCAGAGACATCCAGCTGAGAAAGTGTTTCGGATATAATGAAAAGTGTTCAGTGTCTGTCCATTCATTCTACGAAGAAATGCTATATTACAATATTTTCTACAAAGGAGATTGTTCTTTTTATAAAACTATGAACAAAGGTGGAATGCCTTCATTTGAGCACATCCAGCCACAACGGGGCCATAGATGCTGCAGGAATACAGACTTTGCTTTACCAAGCAGACCACCGTCTAGCTAGAGATACAATACTCAATATCTAGGTGAAAAAGGGAGAGGTCATTCTACAATACTCAATATCTAGGTGAGGAAGGGAGAGGTCATACTACAATGAACACTGTCGCCTAGCAGACCTTAGGAATCTGAATTTCAACTGAAACAAACACGCAGCTGTTTTCTTCTAGAAACACAAACTAAAGAACCCCTGGTGAGAAGGAATCTGAGCGGAGAATCAGCTCCGGGGTAACAAACCAGCAAGAACCCCATTATAAAGTCAGATGTCCCTGGTAGGTGGCCGAGCACTGCATTTAAAGCTGCTCTTGGAGTCAATACAGAGGAACATACAAACTCTCCCTTATGGAGCACTTATTTCTTCCCGTGCCAAGGTCAAAGTCCCGTCATAAACCTGTGAAGATAAAGGAAACTCTGCGAGGAGAGATCTTTGATTTCACCAGGCGTGGGCACAGCGTTATTGCATTAAAGGGAAAAAGGGAATGTATTAACAGAAATTGCGAATGCCTGTTTACCCACAAAATATACCTTACTCAAATTTCTGTATCTGTAATTTCTGTATCTGTAACAACAACAACAACAACAAAAAATGAATGAGACAGAGATAAGAAATGTTACAAAAAGTTTTTAGTTGCCGTAACTCTGGTTTGGGTGAAAATGTTTTTGAGTCCTAACCTTAAAGGGATACTGCAGTGCCAGGAACACAAAGCTGTATTCCAGGCACTACCGCTCCCCCTCCCCTGTAAATAAAAAGTTAAAAAACCCTTTATTTACTTTCCGTTTCCCAGTGCTGACGTCACTCAGCGCTGGGTCGACGCTCCGCCCCCTCCTCCATCACACAACGAGCGTGGTCTATAGGGCATGCGCTGGAGTTCCTCATGCAGAGTGTGAGGATGTCGAGCGTCAGATACCAGATCAAAGGTCGATTTCAAGTTGGGGAAGCTCCCCCAGTGGCTGTCTGGTACCAGGGACGTATTTGCCGCGAGGCAAACAAGGCATTTGCCTTGGGCGGCACTTTCCAGAGGGCGGCAAAAAATGTCGCCTCCAAATGCCCAGGCAAATACCTTGTTAGCCTGGCGGCATTCGGCTAAGTAGAAATCGATGCGGGCGAGTGGCGCTGGAGAGGGAGCCCTGATTACGTCATATTCCGGCTCCCGGCATCACTCTGCGGCGCGCAAGGGAGCGGTGCAGAGAGCTCACTAATCAGTGCTCCCTTGCCAGTGCCGCCCGCCTGGATTTCTACTTAGCCGCCCAAGTGCCTGCCTGCCTCCCTGCAAGAAGACCCACTGGCAAAAAGGTAAAAAAAAAAATCCACCCAGCTCTTCCAAAGGTAGGGAGGCTAGGTGGATTTAAACTAAAATAGAAAAAGTTATCTTTATTAATTAATGTTGGGGAGAGGGGGGTCTGTCAGTGTGTCTGAGTGATTGTGTGTGTCTTGCTGTCAGTGTGTGTATGTCTGTCAGTGGGTATCTGAGTGATTGTGTGTATGTCGGTCACTGTGTGGCTGTCTGTCAGTGAGAGTATGCGTCTGCCGGTGAGAGTATGCGTCTGCCGGTGAGTGTGAGTCTGTCAGCGTGTGTCCAAGTAATAGTGTGTGTCTGTCTATCTGTGTGTCAAATCAGTGAGTATGTCATTGTTTGTCAGTGTATATGAGAGTGTGTGTCTGCCAATGAGTATGCGTCAGTCAGTGAGTGTGCGTCTGTCAATCAAAGTGCTGCCTTGACAGGAAGGGGTGGAGAAAATTTAAATAAGGGGGGGGGGGGGATTTCCAGGGACCGTCCTGCCTAGGGCAGTACAAATACTAAATACACCACTGTCTGGTACATAGCCACTGAAGGCGGACTTAGTGCTGCAGTGTAAACATGGTAGTTTCCCTGGAACATCAATGTTTAACATTGCAGCACTAATTGCAAAAGGGACAGTGCACCCAGACCACTTCAATTGGCTGAAGTGGTCTGGGTGCCTACAGTGTCCCTTTAAGACTGACCCCACAGCAGCTGTTTGGACAAGTGGAAATTAATTTTTATTTTCTAGATCAATTAACCTGTCCGTAAGGCGTTTTCCTAACTTATTTCTCTACATCATGTATGATTATGGTTTTACTTTCATATCCATGTATCTGTGTGAATATTTTGCATAGTGTGTGCCGGGGGGACCCTGTTATTCCCAGCGGCACTCCAAATGGGAAACAACTAAAGTCAGTCTAAACCCCAAATGGCCCGAGGCGGGCAGCCCAATACCATAGCTGCTTAACCTGTAGCCAAAATAAATCGGGGTGCTCGGTAATGTAAATCTGACACACCATGTTTTTCTGTTGTATTTAAAATAATTTAAAAACATTTGTTGGGGGGAGGAGCAAAAGCAAAAAAAAATAAAAAAATTTGCTGGAAATGTTTGAATCACTGAATTGATTCACAGTGAGTCACCAACCTCACACACCGTAATCACGAGTACGGGCTAGGACATTGCCAGTTCACAACCATATTAAAGCAGGAAGAATTTGTCAGAATTGGTGTGAAAGGTGATCAAAGAGTATGAAAAATCAGAGAATTATGGAAAACACCTTGATATGGAACGTTTAGCATTAAAATTACTCCGTCATCCACAAAATACTCCAACCTCCATGGCAACATCTCCTTTAAGTGGCCATGGATCAAGCAATCTGTATATTCAGTGTTCCAGTTTGAAATCCCAGGACATGAACTCTGCCTAATGTTAGTTCTGTGCGTCATTCGCACGCATCGATCATTGGCGAAAGGGGGTAATCAACTTCTCCAGCAGTGCTGTGAGCGAGCCTGCCCTTCCCTCGGTTTATTCTACTCCCCACACCTCTACTTTCTTCGCAGCCCTCCGTGCCTTTCTGCTTCTCCTCCCAGCATTCGGATTGGCATGAACTTTCACACCATGAAAACGTGAGGTTTAACGTTCACAGCTTCTGATACAGAATCATTGTATTTAATGCTTCTCTATCAGAAAAGGCTGATTGGGGTTTCTCTATAAGCAGCATTTGATTGGACCTTGGAGAGGGAAGCAACGATGCGGTGTGACATCATAAAAGCAAGGGAAGAACTGGGCCCAGTTCTGGATTCAAGGTAAGCTTTACATTTAGGTTCTTGGATTTTTTTTAAAATTAATATTTAGATTGAAAAGGTGAAATTTCCAGTAAAATTTGAAAAAGATTGAAAAGATACAGGTAGGATTATGGCTATATTTCCAGAATTCTCCTCCATTTGATCGACACAAGGGAATTCTAGATTTCTTATACTTTCATGCTTTGTTGGTGAGCTAGAGTTCTGTATGCTTTGAGCTGCTGGAGGAAACACTGAATATCTTTTATCCAGTAGCGATAGGGGAATTCTGATATTCTGCTATAAGTATAATTACACCGAGTTCTGCATTGCACCTCTTTATTTGCAAATACAGAAACATACCAGGCTCCTGAGTTAGCACTCTGATAAATAGCAAGGTCTATGGGAGTTCCGTTTTTGCAGAAGTGTCGTAGTGAAACGCAGACAGAATAAAGGCCAAATCCGGTCAAGATAATAGGTTCCATCTCTATCTAAAACAGAAAATTTGGGCTCTTGTTAATGGATTCTATAGCAAATAATATGACATGATCTATTTGAGGCCCTTGTATGACACTGCAAATATTAACATTGATATGATCCATGTTTCTCTGTACACATTTCTACGAAGGACCAGACCAATTGTACTGCAGACAAAGAACAGGTATTGAAATAAAAAAACAAAGAATTGCCCAGCTGCTTGTAAATGCCCAGTGCTCATAGCCAGGTTATTACGATCATTAATTATAAAAAGCATTAACTCCTGCACTCCAGGAAAGGAAAGCACCATTTACAGTATTCATGGTTTTAAAGGACCGCTAAAGTCAGCCAGACTATTACATCTCAATGAAGTGATCTGGGTGTCCTGTAATTTTATCAATCCAAGGTTTAGTACAAGCGGCAATGTTTACATTGCAGGATTAAACACACCTATAGTGGCAGTTTTCCAGAAAGGCCCTAGAGGCGCTGCACTAAATATATTACTTTCCTATGAGAAGCATTTGCATGCGAGCGGTGCTTTCCGCGCACACACACACACTTCAGTTTTCAATGCTTCTTTAAGAGGAAACTGGACTGGCCATTGGCTCAAGAGCAGGATTACGTTGCGGAAGGAGGCACAGGCGGCAGCACCAAGGAAGTCTCAGTGCTGGAGAAAAGGTTAAAAAAAAATTGAAATGTGAAGAACACAATACCAAGGTCTATGGAGGATCCCGCGATTCGTGAGACAATGGTTGAATCCTTCAGCCATCACTTGTGACGGATGCTGGCATTGGACAACAGTGAGCTTTGGCAATTTTTGCACCGGGTCCCGTGGTTTCTAGTTACGCCTCTGCTTCATATATAATGTATTATGGACGAGCAGGCGGTATCAGTGTGTATAGACACAAGAGACTATAACCAATTGGTTTTCCTTTCAAGAGAAACGGCCATTGGCAGATGTTCAGATAATCAGGTGGTATTCAGTTTAATGTAATCAATTAATTTCACAAATAAATTCGTTAACGGAAACATAAAGATGGGGAGAAGCATATTTGATCCACTAGCACAACATACTGCCGAAATGCTTTGTCTGAAATATAGCGGCTCATGGCGGGATTCCTGTCAAGGACGGCGGTGCTCAGCCTCAGAACCATAGCAGCATAGATTTGGATTCATAATATTATCTCAGGGCTCTATTTACAACAATATCTCAATAAATAATAGTGATTAGTATATTCTATGTCTCAGAGTCCATTGTTCTGCAAAGTATAACACAAAATAAAATGTAGACATTCACGCACGAGCCTTGGTTAGGTAGTTGAATAAAAGATAAACAGCCACATCAATGAAATAACTAGTCACTGATACTATATACAATGCCGCATGCCCAGTCTGATGGTGTGTATGCCATCCGTAGCCACTATAATCAGTCAGTTTCAGGAGAAGGACTGAGCTCTACGTTTGGCTTCCTGTAGGGTTTTTTTTTTTTTTAAACGCCCGGCGTGACAAAGTCTTGGTTTATGACAGTTGTAGCTCAAACAGCACCTATGAGTCACTTTACAAAAACAGTTTTTTTCCTGTACAGCTACAATCTTTATAGTTATTTTAACAGCAAAGGAACTTTCGCTGAGTATTATTCGAGACATTTACAGCAGCAACCTGTCCAACTTCTGCTTTTAGACTTCTCCATGTAAGCACCACAATAACTCTAAAATAACTCTACAATCAGTGTATAGTTACACTGCTACAGCCTTTAGAAGCCGTCTCACAGAGCTAGAGAATTTTCATCAAAATCTTATGAAAAAGCATCCCCTCCCTTTAACTGCCAATCGGTCCTCTGCATAGAGCTGTGGTTTTCAAACCAGTCCTCAAGACCCACCAACAGTCCAGGTTTTGTTAGTATCTCCATTGGAATAAAACAGGGAAATACATAAATACTGGACTGTTGGTGGGCCACAAGGACTGGTTTGAGAACCACTGGCATAGAGGGATTTGCATCACACAGCATGTATAGTGAGGAATGACTGACAGGAGTATAGTAGAACACTCCTAGAGCGGTTCCTCTGCTCTCCTCCATGAGATGTCGTTTCTGGCACGTATTGTGCTTCTCAAGCAAGCAAGCAGGGAACACCCACACATTCAGGATTACTGAGCCCATAACAGGGGAAAGTAATATCTCATAATGATAAAAACATATAAATCATATTATGATAAAATAATAAAAACAACTTGCCTCTTTTTCATTGACAAGTCCAAGTTCTTCCCCCAACCCAATGCTGTTTGGCTGAGGGGTCGGGAGGACAGACTGAATGGAGGACAGGTGAGGCAAGGCCGGGAAGGGAGGGGGGGCTTGCCACCAATGGCTGTCTGGACATCAGATGCAAATTTTGTGAAGAATAGACATTAGTGAGCAGTAACTTAGTTCTGGATTTTCTTATGATGATGCCATAATCTCTGAATTTGTAGCAAAACACACATGGAGACTCCATGACAAGGTGAAATCAGTGAAGTGGTCATGGTGCTTGAAGTAACACTTTAATGACACAAATCGATAGACTAATCAAAATTTCACATAATTTATAGAATCACGGACCTGTGTGGCTATTAGAAGAGTGGATGTAAAAATTAGAAGGGTTTAATGGATATCCATAAATCCACGGTGGCCATTTTAGGTTTCAATGCCCCTACTCACATGTCTGGCTACCAGGTGACCGGAGGATTTTCCTGGAGTCGTGCCAGATAGTCTTGCAGTCTTCCTGCAGCTTGTAATAGCGCGCTCTCCGCCATGACCCCGATTTTAATTTGTACAGCTCGCTCCCCGTCAGCAGGAACTTCAAATCCAGGTCATCTTGCAGCCCTGTCAGAACAAAGGAAATTGTAAAATTATTCTCTGTAAACTCTCACACTAGCAAAATATTAAAATGCAGGTAAATATAGACTTTTAACCGCGCACACACACTCACTCCCATAGCGCACTCATGTAAGACAGGAATCTATGGGTTCCGGTATATATGCAGCGTTAACGTAGATTGTGTTCTAGGAAAACAAATTACAGTTTCCTCGGATGTCATCAGCCAAACAAGTTGGGAAACGGGGGTCACATCCTGCAAAACCGAGTTCTGAACAGACTTCGCATGAGAATATGCACCCAGTAATTTCACCTTTGGGAATATTGTTTTTATAAATGCTAACCTCTTTGGTAATAAAAACCTAAAATTATTTATAAAGAAAAAAAAAATTACTTAAAGTAAGCCTCGTGTCTTTAAAATAAATAAATAAAAAACAATTACAAGCTAAATTTTACATAGCATCCATTAACTAAAAAATGTATTCAACCAAGTATCAATATGGATAGCAAATTGGTACATTCATTATCTTCAACCAGAAAAAAAGAAGAGCGGTATTAAGTAATTGTTATGCCAAATGGCATATTGTTACCAGAAAGGAGAAAGAAGGGGAAAATCTGTCCTTTATTAGGTTTACCTGGGTACATCTGGCACACCTTCCTCTGACCAGAAATTTAAGAGAAAAGATCATTTGTCTATAGAAAGCCATAATACGCAACACGATTCAATCATTGCCACCACACACTCAGACTCATCTAATTCCGATTAGATGCAAAGAGCTCTGATTGAAAACAGGAAATCAGTACAAAAGGTTGCTACAGGAAACTCTGCAAAAGGATTGAATAAACTGAGTGTTCCCACCTAGGGCACAATGACCAGCCAGAAATCAGAAAGCATTTAGATCGCTTTATTTTTCTAGATTGCAGCGTCATGTTACAATTGTTTATACTCGTTATTTATTTTCACATCAGTCTACACTCAATGACCAAGCAAAGCAAAAACAGATCGTTGACACTATTGCAAACATGTCAAGGAGAATAAACCTGAAATATCACATTCACATAAGTATGCAGACCCTTAACTCACTTCGTGAAGCACCTTAGACAGCTATTCACAGCCTAAAGTATTTTTTTAGCAGGATGCAACAGGCTTTGCACACCTGGAATTTGGTAGTTCATGCCATGTGACTCTGCAGATCCTCTCAAGCTCTGTCAGGTTATACGGGGACTGTCGGCTGACAGCCATTTTCAGGTTTCTCCAGAGATGTTTGTTTGGGTTCACGTCTGGGCTCTGGCTGGGCCACTCGAGGACATTCACAGAGCTGTCCCCAAGTCACTCGTGATTAAGGTCATTGTACTGTCAGAAGGTGCCAGGGTCTGAATACTTTGTCACTGTTCTATGTAAAAGAATACTATAGCATTAGGAATATAAACATGTACTAATGCTATAATGACTTGCTCACTGGTTAAGGTACCAACCCCCACTTGAAGGAAAAAGGGATTGTACTTACCTTTGCTCCCACAAAACAGTGCCCTCTCCTCCTCCTTGGATTAGATTATCAATCTTGATGATCTCAACAATCCAATGATTTTCCATAGGAAAGCATTAAGAGGTTAGTGCACATGAGCAGCCAAAAGCCACGATGAACCAAACAGCATCTCCTCATAGAGATACAATGAATTAATGCATGTCCAATGCATGTCAGTGTTGGTCCTTCAAACATTGCAGACCTTACCCAGGAAGTCCCTCCAGTGGATGTCTGAGTGATAGCCACTGGGGGTGGCCCTAGGCAGCAATGTAGCGTTTACAATACTAAGCCTGCAGAAACAGACTACAGACACGAGAATCACTATATTTAGCTGTAGTGGTTCTGATGACTATTGTGTATCTTTTAGTTTTTTTATATATGTTTAATAAACTTGCAAAGTTTTCAAAAATTAGGGGGGAAAAATAATTTTAACAATTGTAGCATAAGGCTGCAACATAAAAAAATGAAGGGGTCCGAATACTTTCTGAGTACATTGTATATGGTTGAGGATAGGATTGATCAGATTTAACCCTTTACGGATAGAGGGATATGAAACGCACAGGGTTAATAATTATTATTATTATTATAACTCCTTTAGAACCAGGATTATGTAAATCCTTTGTTTTGGCAGGTCTGTACAGTGAAGGAACCTAAAAAATTTAAAAAAATAAAAGTAAGGGCCCATGTGTTACTGCTCAGCATTTTGTAATGGGATATTAAATACAGCCAAGTTATTTTGATGAAACGGTCAGACAATGTATAGAGAGACAGCTTGCGGTCAGGAGCTCTGAATGTGATCTGTAAATCCAAACCCGATGTTTGCATTCACTATTGAACCTACAATGCATATTGTTATTAAATAAACCCGGGAGAAGTCCATTGTGCCGTTCTGTTTTTGTTCGATAAATAATTCATGTCTGCGAGAGGGGAAATAGTTGGTGTTATATTCCTGAGCAAAACCTCGGTTTATGAACGATCGCTGTGCCGTAGCAAGTCCATCGACTTCGTAACAGCAGGGAATGTAGTTACTAAACAGTGAGATGTAGAGAGTTTAACCACTGGATTCCTAAACAAATATACAAATACCCCAGCCTTGATTTAATATTTTAGGATTAACTTTTCAAAAGATTTATCTATGGAGGACAACATTAAAGTTCATGGGTGTTTGTGATCAACTGAAAAGCTTACCCCAAATTATTAAATGGAGACCCATATTGGGAAAATTGTCTAATCAGACAGCTGTCATGGATTAAAGCACTGAGAGGGTGTTAACAGCAAGGGACCAGGCCAGGGACAGCATCAAGTGAGGAGATGTGACAAGGACAGTATGCCACCTGTCACCCAAGACAGGCACATCGTGAATGAATGTAACATACTCTGTAAGACATCCATTAATCAAATAAATATATAATGTTCCAATCCACCTCCCCTCTAATTAAATTTTAAACTTCCCAACAAAAACATTTCCATTCAAAAACAATGGCCTAAGTCCTAGCACATGCAGGAAACCTCTCCAAATATCAAAACAACCTAAAATACCTGCTAAGGGTCCAATGAAAACAAACCATCTGCCAGAATCCCAAATTCCTGAACTGCCTGCAGCTTCCCCGACCCACTAGTATTATATATATATATATATATATATATATATATATATATATATATATATATATATATATATATATATATATATATATATATATATATATATAACAAAACACAATTCAATGAGCTTCAATTAGAGAAATGCCATTTACAAGAGGGAATACCTGCCACAAGTGTTCAGCTGGCAATGGAGCCTGTCCTGTCAGTTTAACACATATAATGTAGAGCCTCTAAGATTTAGGTGAGCAGTTTACCATTATATTCTGGTCGTGGCATTATGTCAGAATGTAATGCATCACTGAGGCCCTACCAGGACCCAGGACACACAGACGTTTGGGGGATAAAGTTGTAAACCCAAATGAAACAAGAAAATGTATCTCTAATAACGGATTAGTTAGTGGGATCCCCTAAACCTGAAGAAGTCTGTGACCACAAATATCGTGAGGATGCAACCCTTACCTTGGTGAAACAAAAGCTACAGTGGGACATAGAGAATTCTGTCACCAAGGAGAGGCTGCTGGGGTGTCAGTACTGAACCCATAATTCACCAATATGTTATATTTATGGAATTAGCATATTGAAAAGAAGCAGCACTATTGCTACATACACTGTGGTGATATTTTCTATATTTTTCCCTTTAAAAAGGTTCTGAGGTTACTTATTAAACCAATTTTTTGCTTTGACAGCATTGAAGGCTCCACCATGTGTCACTCTATACAAGGGGATTACATCCCCCACATGCACTCAGTACAGGGGATTCCTTGACTCCAGGATTGGTAACCAACTTACGTGGAAGCCTTTTCGTACCATCAGTTGTGTCATTTTTATGGTTTGCTTTCGCCCCATTTAAATCTACACAGGCAGCTAGCAATATTTGAGGACTATTGTGGCAAACCTAGCCACTCAGACTATAACTGGACACTATGCCTTTAAGGGTTGCCTATAGGTCTGGAGAGAGATGCGTTGTAACTGTATGTGCCTGCTTCCTGTATTCCCTGCTTTACCTGTACCTATCTGTTCCGCCGAATGCAAATGGCGGTTTGTATGGGGATTCCCGTTCGTTTCGCGAACGGCACTTTGGAGGGCCGTTCGTGAAACGAATGCGATACCCCCTAATAGCCCACACACTTAGAGGCGTGTGGCGCTAGTTAACCGATTGCAACATTGTTGCAATCGGTTATTAGAGGCTCTCCTGGGTGGCCGTCGTTCGACTACCGACCATGCGGCGGTCGGCCATCTTGGATCCCTGGTTCTTCAGCGGGTCCGTGTCGTCGAACGCATAGCATTACCAACAGTTATTCGACGGCACGAACACCGCTGAGCCTCCAGGACGTTCGGGAGTTTCAGGACCAGGTTCACTAAAAGCAATCGGTTCTTTTCGTGGGTTTGGAAAGAAATGTGTTTTCTGTGCGGCGTTCGGTTATTTTAGCTGGGATCTGAGCGGCAATCTCACGAATGATGCACCCAGACCCCAGCTATCTACCGAACGTCCATTCGTGTAAATCCACCGTATATTATACCAGTTGTAGATTTTTATGTGAATTGCCGGTTCTGCTGCACGAGGGGATAATCCCCTTAACGGTGCATTCTGGGAGGATGATCCCTCTCGTGCAGCGGTGCCTGATGGGAGAAATATGTGGTACTGTAAGTCCCCCATGTAGTCCCCTCCTGTACAACCCCTGTGATGTCAGTTTGGAAACCCCTTGCATGGGGAATTGCATAAATACTGTGACCTGTGATTAAAACCTCAGTTGACTCCCAGCCTATGTGTCGTCTAGTTCTTGGGAAGGAAGGGTTACTGCAGTGCTGTTTGGATTACTATATGCTGATTCCCTGGATTATCCTTTGTTGTTCCTGTTACCCAGCGGAGATATCGTGGATCATACTGCCTCTCCGCTACAATTGGTGGCAAGCGACGGGATTGAATTTACACAGCAAAGCAACGTTCGGCAGATTTTTAAACGAATCAAGGAACAAGCATTCGGGAATCAGCGCATTCGAATAAACCTCACGAACAGCAGGTGAATGGGAACAGATTACACCCTGCTAAAACGGAGCACATTAAAGGAGCTGCTGGAAGCAAGAGGAGCAATCGCCAGTAACAAGGCAAAGGCTGTCCTAATTACGGAGCTCATGGAAGGAGACAGAGCCGCAGCTGCTGCAGCACCTCAAATGGAGGGACAAAACAACGAATTTACAGCGGAATTCCGAGCACGACTGGCTTTATTTCCGGAACCACCATCTACAGAAATGTTTAACCGGCTGTTCGCCGATGTACAGGAGTACATTATGGCTAGGGGACCGCCAGGAAACCAGCAAGCCAGAGAAAGAGCCGCAACGCCAGTCCATAGTTTCCCAGGGAAAACCAAAATCCCATATCAAGCCTTCAAAAGCTATGTGGAGACAGAGGGTGGCGTTGACGACTATTTACAGGATTTCGAGAGACTGTGTTTGCTGCACGAGATTAATGATGCAGACAGAGTACCCCTACTAGCGGGGAGATTATCTGGGCGAGCCGCCGAAGCGTACCGGGCAGTACCAGACGAGGATAGTAGAGACTACGCTAAAGTAAAACGGGCCATCCTAGCCCGGTATGCCATCACCTCAGAGGCATACCGAAAGAAGTTTCGGGACATTAAAAAACCCAGTAAGGACACCCATGTGGAGTGGGCGCACCAGCTACAACGAGCTGCCAAAGGGTGGCTGGAGGCCGCCCAAGTTGATACATTGGAGGGTCTGTTCCAGCTAATGGTACTGGAACAATTCTTCAATGGCGTCCCGACCTACCTACAAAACTGGATCCGGGACAGAAAGCCACACACCCTGCAGGAAGCGGCTAATATGGCAGACGATTTCCAGGACAATCGGAGAGATCAACCCCTACCAACCCGAACCACCATCCCCCCTACAACGGCCAGCCCTCCAGGGGGCCCCGCAACGTACCAGCGACCAGGGGTAAATCAGAATTCCTACCCCCCCAGATATTCAACACGTCCACCAATCCGGTGCCATACCTGCAACCAACAGGGGCACATCCAGAGAGACTGCCCACGGAACCGGCCTCGACCCAGCTGGAATAACGCCGCCCAGAGCAACCGTGCCGCAATCCACTGTCTACAGACCGAATCCGACCAAAATCTGGAGTTGGGGACGACCCGGGAGGAACCCCTCGGTACTCTACACGAGGTGAACCCTATCCAGGCCGCCTCCGATAACCGCCAAGGGCACCGCCAGGAAGTACACATGGAGGGGAGGAAAGTGCAAGGACTTCGTGACTCGGGAGCCACCCTAACTCTAGTCCGCAGTCATCTGGTACCAAAGCCCAAGCTCACGGGGGACTGTGTGGCTGTGCGGGTGGCTGGGGGAGCCATTTACAAAGTACCCACGGCCAAGGTGCACTTGAATTGGGGAGCGGGGCACGGGAATGTATATGTGGGGATGATGCAAGACTTGCCAGCGGATGTGATTTTGGGCAACGATTTGGGGGAGCTGACTTCGGCTTTTGTTCCCCAGCCCACCGTACAAGAAGCATACCCGGTTGTGACCCGGCAACAGGCCCGCACCACTGCACCATTCGAACACTCTGAGGCTCAGGTAAGCAATGACCCTCCCCTACCCCCTACCCTGCCCTGGGCCAATTCCATAGAGTTCGGGGCCGAAGTAGCCCTAGATCCTTCGTTACAGGTGTACAAAGATCGCATGGATAAAAATCAAGCTGGGTTAGAGGGGGAAAGGTATATCTGGGACAAAGGGCTACTATATCGGCACGCAGAGAAGGTAGTGTCCGGGTCAATACCGTTGCCCATTAAACAGCTAATAGTGCCTCGAAAATATAGGTTAGAGCTGTTACGCATAGCCCATGATATCCCCCTGTCTGGACACCTAGGCATCAGTCGGACCAAGCACAGGCTGACCCAGAATTTCTTTTGGCCAGGTATTTCCCAGGATATTAAGCGGTATTGTCAGACCTGCGATACCTGCCAAAGGGTAGGCAAGAGGGGGGACAGATACAAAGCCCGACTACGGTCTCTGCCCATCATTGAAGAACCATTCAGTAGGGTGGCAGTAGACATTATAGGTCCCCTCGCAAAACCCAGCCCCTCCGGCAAGAAGTATGTCCTAACTGTGGTGGACTACGCCACCCGGTACCCCGAGGCAGTGGCCCTAACGAACGTACACGCAGAAACGGTAGCCGAGGCCCTGATGAGGATATTCACCCGGGTAGGATTTCCCCGGGAGATTATCTCCGATAGAGGCACCCAGTTTACTGCGGAAGTGACCCATCAGCTCTGGAAAATATGTGGGATACAACAAATCCTCAACTCCCCATACCACCCCCAGTCCAATGGGCTCTGTGAACGATTTAACGGAACCCTAAAACAAATGATCCGCACGTTCATGGACACCCAAAAGGACTGGGAGCGGTTCTTACCCCACCTACTGTTCGCGTATCGAGAAGTGCCGCAAGAATCCACCGGATTCTCTCCGTTCGAATTATTATTCGGGAGGAGAGTGAGGGGACCTCTTGACTTGATACGGGAACACTGGGAGGGAGACGAAACCGTTAATGGCACCCCTATCTTACCATATGTGCTCGAGTTCCGGGAACGCCTGGAGAGGCTAACCCAGACCGTCCGAGACAATCTCCAGGTAGCGCAACAACGACAGCGCCGATGGTATGATAAGGGAGCCAGGGACCGCAGCTTTCAGGTGGGGCAGAAAGTCCTAATCCTGCGACCCGTCCACAAAGATAAGCTGCAGGCTTCCTGGCAGGGCCCATACAAGGTGGTGGAACAGATCTGTGACACCACCTATGTGATCGGCCCGGTTACCGGCGTGGGAGGCAAACGCATGCTCCATGTGAACATGCTCAAGCCATACCACGAACGGACTGAGGAAGTCACCGCAATCTGTGCCCCTGCCACGGAAGATTTTGATAACCTACCCCTACCCGATCTCCTAGACCAAGAGGGCCAGAGCGGAGATCTGGGAGAGGTACAGTTAGGAGAAAGATTAAATACCCAAGAACGGGCCCAGGTACAAAAGTTGCTTCGGGAAAAGAAGGCCACGTTTTCCAATTTACCCGGCTATACCCCGTTGGCTACCCATAAGGTAGAAACGTTAGATTCGACCCCCTTGCGCCAACCCCCCTACCGCACTCCAGAAGCAGTCAAGGAGAATATGCGCAAGGAAATTGAGGAGATGATTCAGCTAGGAGTAATAGAGCACTCGGACAGCCCCTGGGCCTCCCCGGTAGTACTGGTGCCGAAACGGGACGGGACGACCCGTTTCTGCGTAGACTACCGACGGCTCAACGATAAAACGACCTCTGACGCATATCCCATGCCCCGAATAGACGAACTCCTCGACAAAATGGCCAGGGGTCAATACCTAACCACTATAGACTTGTGCAAAGGATACTGGCAGATTCCCTTAGCGGACGACGCCATCCCTAAGTCGGCTTTTGTCACCCCGTTTGGCCTGTATCAGTTTAAGGTCATGCCATTCGGGATGAAAAACGCTCCAGCTACCTTCCAGAGAATGGTGGACAGACTATTAGATGGGTTCCAGGAGTATGCCTGCGCGTATCTAGATGATATCGCCATATTCAGCCACTCCTGGCACGAACATCTGGTTCACATAGGAGCCATTCTAGACCGAATCCGAGAGGCCGGACTGACCCTAAAACCCAGCAAATGCCATATCGGTATGGCGGAAGTCCAGTATCTGGGACACCGGGTAGGGAGTGGGCAACAGAAACCCGAACCTGCTAAAATAGAGGCAGTCGCCCAATGGCCTACCCCTCGCACCAAGACCCAAGTGCTCGCCTTTCTAGGGACCGCCGGGTACTACCGGAAGTTTGTGGCCAACTATAGCGCCCTCGCCAAACCCCTCACAGACCTGACCCGCAAGAACCTCCCTAAGTTAGTAGTCTGGGCCCCAGAGTGTGAGCAGGCGTTCCAACAGCTCAAGACGGCGCTGGTTAATTCTCCTGTACTTTCTGCTCCTGATCCAACTAAACGCTTTCTCGTCCACACAGACGCTTCTATGTTTGGATTGGGAGCAGTACTGAGCCAAGTTGGACCCGATGGCGGCGAGCACCCCGTAGCTTACCTAAGCCGAAAACTTTTACCCAGGGAAGTAAGCTACGCCGCCATTGAAAAGGAGTGCCTGGCTGTGGTGTGGGCCCTCAAGAAGTTGCAACCCTACTTATACGGGCAACCCTTCACTTTACTCACGGATCACAACCCGTTGGTGTGGCTGAACAGGGTGTCCGGAGACAATGCCAGGCTGCTGCGCTGGAGTTTGGCGCTGCAGCCTTTTGACTTTACTATCCACTACCGCCCTGGGAAGCAGAATGGCAACGCCGACGGGTTGTCTAGACAAACAGACTTGGAGCCGTGATTCGTGAGTACTCCTCCGGACATCCCCAAGCCGATCCGTTGGGATCAGACTGTGTATGCCGGCTTGGTTCTGGGGGAGCATTGTGGCAAACCTAGCCACTCAGACTATAACTGGACACTATGCCTTTAAGGGTTGCCTATAGGTCTGGAGAGAGATGCGTTGTAACTGTATGTGCCTGCTTCCTGTATTCCCTGCTTTACCTGTACCTATCTGTTCCGCCGAATGCAAATGGCGGTTTGTATGGGGATTCCCGTTCGTTTCGCGAACGGCACTTTGGAGGGCCGTTCGTGAAACGAATGCGATACCCCCTAATAGCCCACACACTTAGAGGCGTGTGGCGCTAGTTAACCGATTGCAACATTGTTGCAATCGGTTATTAGAGGCTCTCCTGGGTGGCCGTCGTTCGACTACCGACCATGCGGCGGTCGGCCATCTTGGATCCCTGGTTCTTCAGCGGGTCCGTGTCGTCGAACGCATAGCATTACCAACAGTTATTCGACGGCACGAACACCGCTGAGCCTCCAGGACGTTCGGGAGTTTCAGGACCAGGTTCACTAAAAGCAATCGGTTCTTTTCGTGGGTTTGGAAAGAAATGTGTTTTCTGTGCGGCGTTCGGTTATTTTAGCTGGGATCTGAGCGGCAATCTCACGAATGATGCACCCAGACCCCAGCTATCTACCGAACGTCCATTCGTGTAAATCCACCGTATATTATACCAGTTGTAGATTTTTATGTGAATTGCCGGTTCTGCTGCTCGAGGGGATAATCCCCTTAACGGTGCATTCTGGGAGGATGATCCCTCTCGTGCAGCGGTGCCTGATGGGAGAAATATGTGGTACTGTAAGTCCCCCATGTAGTCCCCTCCTGTACAACCCCTGTGATGTCAGTTTGGAAACCCCTTGCATGGGGAATTGCATAAATACTGTGACCTGTGATTAAAACCTCAGTTGACTCCCAGCCTATGTGTCGTCTAGTCCTTGGGAAGGAAGGGTTACTGCAGTGCTGTTTGGATTACTATATGCTGATTCCCTGGATTATCCTTTGTTGTTCCTGTTACCCAGCGGAGATATCGTGGATCATACTGCCTCTCCGCTACAACTATTGTAATCGCTTAGGACTACTTATCAGGAGCATCTGCTGTAGTGGTTATGGTGCCAGGAGTCCATGGGTGCGGTTCATCAATAAACTGTCAAACCATTGATGGATGATTTGTCTGAAAGGGAGCCACTTTCTGAATAGGTCTAAATTATCATAACAAATTAATGCCAGGTTTGAACAGTATTCATTGGCTGACAGCCACTAAATACCATCTAAATGTGGTATCGGTTGGTATGATAATGTAGGAGTATGGTTATGTGTCAAACTGTTAATGGTTTGAAAGGTGGGACAGCACCCAGGGATTCCTGGCACTATAACCATTACAGTGTACTGTAGTGGTTATGGTGCCTAGATTGTTCCTTTAGAGTCATGTGTTATCCTTGAGTAACAGATTGTTTACATTTTTCCCCACTTGGAAGCAATACAGAACGGGGAAGGGCATTGTAAGAATGATACAAACGGTTTGGACATCTGAGGATTTCTCCTGCAAAGTATGCAACAATTTACTGTCCGATCTTAAGATTATTATTTATATAGCGCCATCAGATTCCGTAGCGCTGTACAATGGGTATTAAATGTACTCGCTTCTAGTGAGCATGTAATAATGTCCTACCTGATCTCAATATTACATGATGTAATAAATACTACACCCTACACTTAATACAATAATTACGTCCATGGTTTGATCACACTATTACAATGTCTCAATCTGTACACTGCGAGTAACAGTCAGATATCAGATTTCTATACTGCATGACGACGCTTTGTACAGTACTGTGTTATATGTTTAGACTATATAAAGGTAAATAAAAACAATGTAACTGAACCAACTCCTAAATCACGCAATGAAGACACATATTACATACAAGTGTGTAGCCTTTACAACCTTTGGTTTCGGTGTTTAAACGTCTTAAGTCAACAATTGCCTTTATATGTTGGTAAGCCTGCTCTGCACTGGAAGTTATGTAGTTCCTATAGTCTGACAACACCAACAATGTGTGTCATGCTGGGTGCAGTGTGTGGAACAAGACTGTAACAGCCAAAGACAGAAACGGATTTACTCACTCACCACTCACTGGGGATACAGAAACTCAGTATCCTCACTCACTGGGGATACAGTAACACAGGGACCATCACTCACTGGGGATCCAGTAACACAGGACCCTCACTCACTGGGGATACAGTAACACGGAGACCCTCCCTCACTGGGGATACAGTAACCCTCACTCACTGGGGATACAGTAACACAGGGACCATCACTCACTGGGGATCCAGTAACACAGGACCCTCACTCACTGGGGATCCAGTAACACGGAGACCCTCCCTCACTGGGGATACAGTAACCCTCACTCACTGGGGATACAGTAACACAGGGACCATCACTCACTGGGGATACAGTAACACAGGGACCCTCACTCACTGGGGATCCAGTAACACAGGACCCTCACTCACTGGGGATACAGTAACACAGGGACCCTCCCTCACTGGGGATACAGTAACACAGGGACCCTCCCTCACTGGGGATACAGTAACACAGGGACCCTCACTCACTGGGGATCCAGTAACACAGGACCCTCCCTCACTGGGGATACAGTAACCCTCACTCACTGGGGATACAGTAACACAGGAATCCTCACTCACTGGGGATACAGTAACACAGGGACCCTCACTCACTGGGGATCCAGTAACACATGACCCTCCCTCACTGGGGATACAGTAACCCTCACTCACTGGGGATACAGTAACACAGGAATCCTCACTCACTGGGGATACAGTAACACAGGGACCCTCACTCACTGGGGATCCAGTAACACAGGACCCTCACTCACTGGGGATACAGTAACACGGAGACCCTGCCTCACTGGGGATACAGTAACCCTCACTCACTGGGGATACAGTAACACAGGGACCCTCACTCACTGGGGATACAGTAACACAGGAATCCTCACTCACTGGGGATACAGTAACACAGGGACCCTCACTCACTGGGGATCCAGTAACACAGGACCCTCACTCACTGGGGATACAGTAACACAGGAACCCTCACTCACTGGGGATACAGTAACACAGGGACCCTCACTCACTGGGGATCCAGTAACACAGGACCCTCACTCACTGGGGATACAGTAACACGGAGACCCTCCCTCACTGGGGATACAGTAACCCTCCCTCACTGGGGATACAGTAACACAGGAATCCTCACTCACTGGGGATACAGTAACACAGGGACCCTCACTCACTGGGGATACAGTAACACAGGGACCCTCACTCACTGGGGTTACAGTAACACAGGAATCCTCACTCACTGGGGATCCAGTAACAAAGGGACCCTCACTCACTGGGGTTACAGTAACACAGGGACCCTCACTCACTGGGGATCCAGTAACACAGGACCCCCTTACTCACTGGGGATCCAGTAACACAGGACCCCCTTACTCACTGGGGATCCAGTAACACAGGGACCCTCACTCACTTGGGATACAGTAACCCAGGACCCTCACTCACTGGGGATACAGTAACACAGGGACCCTCACTCACTTGGGATACAGTAACCCAGGACCCTCCCTCACTGGGGATACAGTAACAGAGGGACCCTCACTCACTGGGGATACAGTAACTCAGTACTACACATACACCAGTTGAACAGGTAGGAGGTGGCTTTGGAAATTGTTACTTGAGATTAAGTTCCGTGGCACTCACAGGGTTAAGGACACACTCAGTTCCCAATAGGATCAGGGAGGAGTTGCTGGACTGAGAGAGTGTTTGGTAGAGTTCCAGCTGTGGTAGAACTACAACTCCCATTACAATCTGTAACACAGCTAGAAGTTGCGGGTGTGGGAGTTGCAGTCCATTGGCCCCCATGAGCTGTGCAGAGTAAGACAGCTCCCAGCCCGGTAGGTGTGGGATCACTTACCCAGCCGGGTGCAGTTTTTCTGGAACTCCTTCCTGCTGCTCTCCTGGAGGATCAGCTCCTCTGACTTGGAGTGGGCTGGCTGTCTGCGGATACACTGCATGCTGGACCCCACAGGACACCCCAAATCTACAGCCTCCCTCCAGGGGGTCAGGGAGCCAGCTCAGCCGGGAGAGGCTGGGAGGAGTGTGAGCAGGAGGAGGGCTAGAGGAGGGAAGGGGAGAGTCAGCCAGCTGGAGAGCAGGCAAAGAAAACTGCTACTCCCAGGACTCTCAGAACAATCTGTAATATGGAGGGGGGATTTCTGCAAGTACTATGGGGAGAGACTGCTATTCCCAGGACTCTCAGAACAATCTGTAGTATGGAGGGGCTGCTACTCCCAGGACTCTCAGTATAGTGTGTAACATGAGGGGCATTGCTACAAGTAATATGGGGAGAGACTGCTACTCCCAGGACTCTCAGAACAATCTGTAGTATGGAGGGGCTGCTACTCCCAGGACTCTCAGTATAGTGTGTAACATGGGGGGCATTGCTACAAGTAATATGGGGAGAGACTTCTACTCCCAGGATTCACAGTATAGTGTGTAACATGGGGGGCACTGGTACAAGTACTATGGGGAGAGACTTCTACTCCTAGGACTCTCAGTATAGTGTGTAACATGGGGGTAATTGCTACAAGTAATATGGGGAGAGACTTCTACTCCCAGGATTCTCAGTATAGTGTGTAACATGGGGGGCATTGGTACAAGTACTATGGGGAGAGACTTCTACTCCTAGGACTCTCAGTATAGTGTGTAACGTGGGGGGCATTGCTACAAGAAATATGGGGAGAGACTTCTACTCCCAGGATTCTCAGTAAGGTTGTGTAACATGAAGTGCATTGCTACAAGTACTATGGGGAGAGACTTCTACTCCTAGGACTCTCAGTATAGTGTGTAACATGGGGGGCATTGCTGCAAGTAATATGGGGAGAGACTTCTACTCCCAGGATTCTCAGTATGGTGTGTAACATGGGGGCACTGCTACAAGTAATATGGGGAGAGACTGCTACACTCAGGACTCTCAGTATAGTGTGTAACATGGGGGGCATTGCTACAAGTAATATGGTGGGAGACTGCTACTCCCAGGATTCTCAGTATGGTGTGTAACATGGGGGGCATTGCAACAAGTACTATGGGGAGAGACTTCTACTCCCAGCATAATGTGTAACATGAGGGGCATTGCTACAAGTAATATGGGGAGAGATTGCTACTCCCAGGACTCGCAGTATAGTGTGTAACATGGGGGGCATTGCTACAAGTAATATGGGGAGAGATTGCTACTCCCAGGACTCGCAGTATAGTGTGTAACATGGGGGGCATTGCTACAAGTAATATGGGGAGAGATTGCTACTCCCAGGACTCGCAGTATAGTGTGTAACATGGGGGGCATTGCTACAAGTAATATGGGGAGAGATTGCTACTCCCAGGACTCGCAGTATAGTGTGTAACATGGGGGGCATTGCTACAAGTAATATGGGGAGAGATTGCTACTCCCAGGACTCGCAGTATAGTGTGTAACATGGGGGGCATTGCTACAAGTAATATGGGGAGAGATTGCTACTCCCAGGACTCGCAGTATAGTGTGTAACATGGGGGGCATTGCTACAAGTAATATGGGGAGAGATTGCTACTCCCAGGTAAAAAGGTGGGACGGGGGAAGGGGTGCAAGTAACGCAGGGAGAAAACTGCTACTCCCAGGACTCTCAGAATATTCTGTAAAAAGGTGGGACGGGGGAAGGGGTGCAAGTAACGCAGGGAGAAAACTGCTACTCCCAGGACTCTCAGAATATTCTGTAAAAAGGTGGGACGGGGGAAGGGGTGCAAGTAACGCAGGGAGAAAACTGCTACTCCCAGGACTCCAAGTGCACTCTATAACACAGGGGAACAGTTCAACAAACAAAGGGGGAAGGACTGCGACTCACAGGACACAAAACATTCTGCAACATCGGGAAATATTTCTACAAGTAATTGTGGATGAGAAGGACTACTCAGAACAATGTTAGATGGAAAGGCATTTTTACAAGTATTATGATGAGAGAATAGCTACTCATAGGACTCTCATAACATTCTGTAACATGGGGAGATGGATACATTTCTACAAATAATGGTTTGAGAGCCTGCAACTCTAAGGACTCTCAGACAGCTCAGAACATGGGCGAACATTAACAGGAGATGAGACCGCATTTCCCAGGACTCTTATAAATTATATTTTGTAACATGAGGGATCCTTACAACAACTTAAAAATTGAGAGAGAGACTGCAACTCCCAAGACTCTCAGACAATATAGTATATTCCTTTGGCAAACTTACAAAATATTATGGGGGAGGCACTCAGATAGAACCTTAATACAAAAAAGAAACAAAAACACACAAATTAGGAAGGGCTAGAGAGATGTTTCCAACAAATTATACATTTAAACATTGGCATTTCTGAGAAAGGGCAATAATTGCCTATGGCCAAGAATACTCCTTAAGTGGCTGGGGTCCTCAACACAACAAAATTATAGTTTTTCCCCGAAAATAAGCTCAAGTCCGTTTTTTGCTCGCAATAACAGCCCTACCCTGAAAAAAGGCCCTAGTTGAGATTGTCGCTAGTTCGCTAAACTATGTTCTGGGAAGTTTCCCTGAACATAGATTTGCAGGATTCCCTTAAATTCTTCGAATGTAGACCTGCTTTCTTGTACATGCTTGCTACTGTTTTTCCCCGAAAATTAAAGGGATCCTATAGTGCCAGGAAAACAAAGCCATTTTCCTGGCACTATAGGATTAATAGTTCCCCCCCACTCCCGCGGGGCTGAAGTCCCCTTCAGCCACTTACCTGAATCCAGCGCCGATGTTTCTTGGCACTGGGTCAGGCTCGGCCCACGCTCCTCCCCCGCCATCAGCCGGCCGGGGAGATCTAATGCGCATGCTTTCCGATGGAAAAAATCTGATGCTGGAAGTCCTCATACAGAGCGTGAAGACGTCCAGCCTCAGATAACGGACCAAAAGTCAGTTTAGATTCCGGAAGTGCCCCAGTGGCCGTCTAGTAGTGGCTGTTTATTTTATTTTATTCTGGTTCCAAGGCTGGCAAAGTGTCTTTACTACCCGTGAATTTGGGCAGTTACACACAAGCCTTTAAAAAGGTATCACTTTACCCACAGTGCTGAATAGAATCCTGTAATAAATAGAACATTATCCTGAGGCTGGCAATCCCACCAATTCTAGCAGACGCAGCTATTCTATATTGCGGAATTTATTTACATCCCCAGGGAAGCCTGTTATATTGGCGAAACGCGTCGGCTGGAGATACGGATTACAAGAGGACAGTAGAACAGACTCCAGCTGGTCAGACAATACGAAAGCAGCATGTTTTACAAACTTGTTGGATTCCAAGGACACACCTTTACTGTTTAATTGTATTTTTTCTTCCTCGTGCATCCAACGATTAAATTATGGACATTGTCATAGAACGGAACTATGACTGTTGTACCACAGTGGTCATGGTACCATGAAACGCTGTAAATACAGAGATTAAATCCTTAGTTACTGGAGGTGTAATTTCACCTCCGGCAGCATCATTAGCCAGGGGCTAATTGTGCAAATTGACGCCATCACGCCGTCCCTTTCCCTCTCCTCAGTCTGTCCTCCTGGCACTCCCTCTCCAACGAGAGGAAGTGATGACAGGCAAGAAGGATTGAGCTGCAGGGAAAACTTAGACTCCAAGGTGGCAAAGAGAAGGTTTTATGCTTTATTTTATGTTTTTTACAGTTTGGGGAGGGAGAACCACCTCACGCAGGACACTTTTTTTTTTTTTAAATAAAAACACTTTTTTGGGTTGGAATCACTATTTAAGTTAACGTACATGTGTGAAGTCTAAACAGAAAGGGTTTTTTTTTCTCCTCCCCCAATGGAACGTGCATCCTGACTCTGCCAGGACTGAAAAGATATTGATGTTGATAGTTACATAGCTGAAAAGAGACTTGCGTCCATCAAGTTCAGCCTTCCTCACATTTGTTTTTTGCTGTTCATCCAAAAGAAGACAAAAAACCCAGTTTGAAGCACTTCCAATTTTGCAACAGGCTAGAAAAAAAAATATCATTCTTGACCCCAGAATGGAAGTCAGATTTATCCTTGGATCAAGCAGTTATTACCCTGCATTGTAAGATTATATCCTTGAATATTCTGTTTTTGCAAGTATGCATCTAGTAGCTGTTTGAACATCTGTACGGACTCTGATAAAACTACTTCTTCAGGCAGAGAATTCCACATCCTTATTGTTCTTACAGTAAAAAAAAACTATCCTTTGCCTTAGACGAAATCTTCTTTCTTCCAGTGTAAACGCATGACCTCGTGTCCTATGTAAAGTCCGGTTTGTGAATAGATTTCCACACAATGGTTTGTATTGGCCACGAATATATTTGTATAATGTTATCATATCCCCTCTCAGGCGACATTTTTCTAAACTAAATAGGTTTAAATTTGTTAACCTTTCTTCATAGCTGATATGTTCCATTCCTTTTATTAATTTTGTAGCCCGCCTCTGCACTTTTTCTAGTGCCCTAATATCCTTCTTTAGAACAGGTGCCCAAAATTGCACAGCATATTCAATATGGGGTCTTACCAGTGATTTATGAAGAGGCAAAATGATATTCTCGTCCCGAGAATGAATGCCCTTTTTCCATGCATGACAATTCCTTACTGGCCCTGACCACTGCTGATTGACATTGCACATTGTTGCATAGTTTGTTGTCTATAACAATTCCCAAGTCCTTTTCGTGTGTTGTTGTTGATGTAATTTGCTAAATCCTTCATAAACATTTAAAAGAAAGCAGAGCATTACATGGAAAAGTAATAAATAAATAAATTAATAATAACAACAACACACAGTACAAGTTATTCCTATCCAATGGTGTAATTTCTCGACACATGATCGTTCTCCTTTAAACAGCAGTAGGGTGTATTAAATGTTATTTTGGAAATGTGGTTACAACGTAGCAATCATGATTCTAAATTAAACTTTCAAAAGAAGGGCTGTCAGGCAGTTGGACCTAGAATAAATACTCTCTGGATAGCATTCAGACACCATATAGAGGTTAGAAATATAATTCTATAGGATTACATTAACATCACAGTTCAAAAAGCACCATAACATCTGTAATATAATTAAGTTGTTATGGTGCGCAGAGGTCCATGTGCAATGGCTTACCTCAATGGGTTAAACCATTAACAAAAGGATTAACACCAAAGTCTTCATCTGGCACCCATCAGCTGTGCCCCTTAACTTCCGTTGCAGTCCGAGGGCTTGAATTAGGAATCTCAGACTGGCAGTCGCTGATAGGCTGATACTCTTAGCCTATTACTAGCCTATTCATAAATGGAAAAAGCACCTATTTTTCTCACTCCGTTTTGTGAAAGTGGGCTACTGCATTATCTTGTTCACAGGCTTCCGGTTTTAAGCCTCGAACTGCAAAAGAAATTCAGGGTCAGAGCTGCCGGGTACCGGATTGAAGACTTTGGTGTTAGACCGTTTAAGCCATCACCTGGGGACATACTTGCAGCATAACAACCTCATTCCAAGTTGTTATGGTACCCAGAGTGTTCCTTTAATGCCTATTTATAAACATAAACTAGCCTGTAGCATTTTAGCTACATTTATATTGCCAGTCTAAAACAAAATTGCAAGCAAACACATTATAAATAAAAATGCAAACAAAGATTAAAGCAGCACTGTCATGGCTGAATCCTGTTGTTTTTTTTTTTTTTAACCCCCCTCTCGCCTCCACTACATCTAATTGACCCCTTAGTTACCCCCAAATGCCGCTAAGCCCCCCCATATTACCTATTTTTAATCTTTATTTTCTGCCCCGATCTATATTCAGGGCGCCGCCATCTTTGTGTGGGTAGAGGAAGTCCCTGTGGGACACGTCATCTGCCCACATTAGATAGCGCTGTGCGATTCCCGCACATGCCCACTGATACACTTGGACATGCGAACGGAAATTTAATCTATTCATTCATTCGTCAGAAAGACAGCCAAATAAAAAAAAAACAGACAAAAAAGAAAAAACGAGTTCAAAAAAAATAATCCATCTTAACCCATGGAGGGCTCCGCGCAGAGAACTTTCCCACGCTGTGTAGAATGACTCCGAGCACTCTGATTGGTTGGTTTAAACCAACCAGAGTGTTAGTTATTTTATAGAGTGTGGGAAAGTTCGTTGGAATTTTCCCACACTGTGTAAAATGACTCAGAGCACTCTGATTGGTTGGCTTAAACCAACCAATCATTGTGCTTTGAGCCTAATTGCAGGGAGTGGTAAGGCTTTATAAGCCTTGACCTGCCCTGCGGAGCTCAGTATGCGGTGTGCCCTCGAAGGGTGAAGATGGATTTTTTTTTTCTTGCGATAGTGTGTTTTGGAGGTTTTTTTTGGAGTTCGATGGGATGTATGGCTTTTTATTTGGCCTTTTTTGGGGCTGAAGAAAGAAGATATTTGAAAAAAGAAGACATCTAATGGTAAGTTTATTTTTATTTTTTCTTTACAAGAATTTAGCTTCATTGTCCCCCCCCTTCACTATTACTAGGATGAGGGGGGTAGGTAGGAATTTATTTTATTGGGGGAATGGGGGTAACTAGGGGCTCGGGGACCCCTAGTCACTAAAAAGGGGGGGGGGATTTTAAACTTGGTCCCCACCAGCCGCTCAGGGGGAGGAAACAATAGGTTCCCCCCTCTTATTGTTTTTAAAGGCCCCCACCTGCCGCTCAGGGGTGGGGGTCGGGGGGGGGAGGCAATAGGTCTCCCCTTTACTGCCGCTCAGGGGTGGGGGCCAGGAGGGCAATAGTCCCCCCTCTTATTGCTTAGGGCCCCCACCGCCGTTCAGGGGTGGGGGACAATTGTGGTTTTTGTTTTTTTGGTTTTCTTAACAGTGAGCAGCCAAAGGCCCCTACTCACGTCATAGCGAGTAGGGGCATATTATTTACTAATACTAAGTAATCTTTAGCCGCGGCACAAATTGAATAGGAGTTTCATTCATTCAAATGAAATTCCGTAACGAACAGAGTGCCGAATTGAGTTCTAAAACAAACAAACCTAGTGTTTTCATTCAGTTAGAACGCAATTCGGCAGTTTTGTCTAAAATGACAGGAAGCATTGCGAGATCACAGAGGAAAGGTAAGAATTATGGGAAAATTGCTCTGACCAGCGGAAATGAAGCCCACTTTGCTCCTCCGCTGGTCAAAGCTGGTCAAGTAGAGGAAACCTCCATAAGGCAAAGAGTCCCTACTTTGTCTTATGATTTTAAAGACAACTAAAGAAGACAGGAAGAAAAGAAAAAGAACAGATCCTGAGAGAGGGGGAGAAGAGGAAGAGATTGAGGAAAGGTAAGTTCGGCATGACAGTGCCGCTTTAATAATGTTTGTTTAATAAAACTATACAAATGCTGCCACCCAGTGTTAAAACTAGTCTTAACATGGATTTACTTATTCAAGATTCATCAGTAAGGGAACAAGTCAAGCCCACAAGTAATGACAGAAAGATATATTTAGGGAAGCTTATGCAAGACAAAACGAACCTCGATGGGGTAATCTTCACACTATATTGGCATCTACTGGTTGGACATCTAGAACAAACTACCTTGGGTAAAGTGTTCAGACACTCAATGGGAAAAAAAAATGATATTGGCCCACAAGAGCTCATTGAGCTCTAGATATCAGGAGACCAACTACAAACTCCTCTCCTCCAGGTGAAGAACACCTGAATATTTACACAGGGTTTTCCCCACAGTCCCAAACACCTGCGGGAGGTGCTGAGAGGCCGGGGGCACGGTTCGACATCTGGTGGGATTGCCCGTTTTGGAATGCGGTCCACACTGAGGTGTCAGAGATCCTAGGGGAGAAACAATCCTTCGAATTTGAACATGTACTTCTGCATGCCACCTCATCCCCATTTGGCTACACAAAATGCAGCCAAATCCACGATACTTACCCTCTGGAAACAAGCTAAGACCCCGACAGTAGAACAATGGCTAGACAAAGTAGTGGAAATCCAGTCCACAGAAGCGCTGCAGGCATCATTGACAGGAACCGACATGAAACACATTGAACGTTGATGACCCTGGGTTGAATATGTGGCGCGGGCGAATGCTGCGCACGCTGGGGCTGGCCTGCGGGGGCCTGAATAGGGGCTTTGCTCCATGCTGAACTTGGTTCCCACGGGTCCTTCTCCATGCTGCACCTTTACCTGTACTATCATCCGATTCCTTCTGACTCGTTTTCCATTCTACCCTGTAATACACTTCCCATGCCTTGCACGGATTCTATTAGCCTAGCCCGCCAGATTCTAGGCAATATTTAACAAGATACCATTATTAAGAAACTCGTAATTGTCACCTTAACCCGGGATGCCCACCTTCATGGTGTGACGTGTTCGCTAAGAACTGCGAGGGGTAAAACATGCCTACGCACACATATTGCTAGAAGTACCCAGTACCTCAATCCCAAGATTCGTGACACCCTTCTTCAAACTACTAACAATGTTCCGTCTCTTGGATCCCCACTGCCCCATATGGCTGACCCTCAGATACACATGATAGGATCCGACCATTCATACCTCTAAGGCTCCACCCTGTCGTATGTGGAACACCTGCACAATACGCCTCGAGCGGGGTCTACATTTAGCTAATCCTAAGGGGTCGCCACCTTTCCACACCAGCATCGGAATAGCTGACCAGTTAACATTTAAGCAAACACAAGCTACTCCTTTTCATTTCCTACATGATAATGCTGCTTGACTTCACTATGTCATGTTATAGGGTTGAGTGATTACACGAGACCTGTGTGTCTCGACTATTGCTTATATCCCTTCCTGTAGTACAATGATCGTGTACGCAGCACACATTACACCCAATCCAGAAGGGCTACATGGTGGCAATCTCTAAGTGCTCCAACTATTGCTTATATTCCTTCCTGTATTAAAATGATCGTGTACGCAGCACAAATTACACCCAATCCAGAAGGGCTACATGGTGGCAATCTCTGAGTGCTCCAACTACTGCTTTCTATAAGTCTTAATAACAAAGTCACTGGATTGTATTAGGCTTTGTAACATTGTTGAATGTTTATATGAGAGACCTGTGTGTCTCATGCGTTACTTATTTACCTTACTATGCTGCTGTAATTGTTTCATTGGCACAAATAAAGTTTCTTTGAAACGAAAGATATATTTAGGGGCCATAGAGTGGCTAATAGAAAAAAACAGAAAAAATCAGCGCTTAAATAGCCACAATATATAAAGGCTGCACTCCTCAAAAGGGAATCCCCTACAAATCCCCAACGATAGAAAAGTCACAGAACAAAATAGAACAATAAGGATGCGCCAAGAATAAGTACTAAAATATATGAACTCAATAAAATATAAAATAGAATACAATATTGGATAACAATAGTCAAAAACTTATCAAAGTCCGTGATGCGTAATCCCACGTAAAAACAAAAGGAGATTCTTTAAGGTGTAGAGTAGGGTCGAATCTTCACAATGGTATGTACAGGATACAGTGGAACATATGTGGAGAAAAGAAGAAACAGGACTCCAATGGTACAGTATGTAAATACGTAAGAATAAAATAGTAGAATAGGTCTTACTCACAATTTTCAGAGCTGAAGATCCAGCTCTGATATAAAGCACGTGGAGTGGAATATTCCCCACTCAGGGATATATGGAGTAGACTTCAAATCGCAGTTCTCTAGTGCACGTACATCGTCCAAAGTGCAGACCCAAAAGAGGAAAATAAAATATATAGTGCTCTCTGTGTTACGGTGAAGTATTAAAATAATAAAGAGGATATTACTCACATTCTTTTGAGCAGATATATACTGCTCACTATATGCGCTTGGGTGGTATGATCCCCACCTATGGATTCTTTAGGCTTCTTCTGAATATACGTAGTCAGGTGAAAGACAAGAAAAGAAGAAATGGCAATAAAGTGTTTTATGCCAAAAATTTCTTTATTGTAACGTAATAAAATAAAATAGAGTGGCTGCCTCAAAAAGGAGACAAAAACGACTTAAGAGGAAAAATCTGGAAAACGCATGGTTTATCACTAGATGGGGTCATGAAACCACAATACCTGATAGGGTTAGGGAGACTGAGAACCACATGACTAAACACTAAATAAATAAACCACCAAATAGGTCGACAAGAGCCCAAAAAGGCCCTGTACCCTAAGTCATGGTTTAACTACCTCAATGAATATCTACGGAATGGCTTCCATTCGGCTACGCCTCTACATGTGAGTTGGTTATTTTAGCTTAACTGATGTAAGCCACCATCACTATGCAATAGAGCATGGTAGGAGCATGTGGGGAGTATTATGATGTGAGAACCCGGTTCTGGGTTTATAAATATGTCTTACAAACACAATTAAAGAGCACTTGTAGTGGCTAACGTGACTTAAAATAAACACTTCATACACTATAACCACTACAGCATACAGTGTTTATAGTGCCACTCCCCCCATTGTAAGGAGTCAAACATTTTTAGAATGGTCTGATTTTTTTTTTTTTTACCTGGCATCCATCGGGTACAGCTTTCCACCTACCGGAAGCTCGCTGACACTCTTAGCCAGCGAGCTGGGCATGCATTGCTGGTCTTGGTTCCGAAGAGCTAACAGTAACTCCTGATTAGAAGCTTTCAGCTCTCCGTAGTATTTAGTGTCAGACAGCTGGTAACAAGTCAAATCAAACTAAAATGGTTTTACTCCTTACAATGCAGGGGGACGCCAGGAGTGCTGCTGTGGTTATGGTGCTATGAGTGTTCCTTTAACCAGCATAAAATATCACGTTTACATTTTTGTTATAGCTACTAAATTTATAGATGAAAAATGATTTTGTATTTTAAGTGATTTGACATTCATTGGTTTCACTGACACGCAGTCAGACAGGATGCAGTGAATAGAGGAACAAGGCCTTTGGTATTTCTCCTTGATTAACAAATAGAGTTTGGATCGGGTTTGAAAGCTGGGCAAAGTTTTCGTTAACCGTTTAACCCCTGGAGGTATGACGAGCAGGGACATCCTGGCACAGTAACAACTTAATTCCAATGAAGTTGTTATAGTGTCCAAACTGTTCCTTTAAACTAAAGGAGATGAAAAAATTTCCTGTCAAGCTCTTGTCTAGATCTCCTATTTTCACCTGAAATTTGCAGTTTCTTTGTCAGTTCACCAAAATTCACTGTAAGTAACGCTTTGGATTTGTAGGGAGAATGCGGGTCAGCTAAGATCCATCCCAGCTATTTTGGCAGAGATTTTTCAAGTCTTACTAACTCACGGTTTAGTGAATACAACCCATATCTGCTAAATATAGACTGAAATAAACTTGAGAAATCACTCCAAAAGCAAGATATTTAAAGATCTAAAACCGCACCCTCTGATCCTCCTATTGGCAGCACTTCTGTGTTTCCCAATAGGAAATGAAACCACGGGCAGACATGTGTTATACATATGCACTTTTTAGTGCAGCAAAAAAAAAACCTATTTGCCCTCCTCCTGATTTTCAACAGCGTTGCATATTTTTGTTACTTAAACAGAGCAAATCATGCAGAGTAGCATTAAGAGGGAGTCAGAGCACCAACATTACATCTACATTTAATTCTTATTATACGAGGAAAACAAAAATAATTAACCTAGGGCCAAAATTTAAATATCACAAGGTAGAGGGCACACAAAAAAGGGGGTTAACCCCTAAATGGTGAATATCACAGAGAATAAACAAAAAAAGAAAAAAATGCCATTCTACCGGTGTATGATTTACTGAGAAGATTGTAGGTTAAAAATTAACTTTTAATAAATAAATCTAAAATAAAAATATAAAAAAAAATAAAAAAAAAATATAAATATATATATATATATATAAATATATATATATATATATATATATATATATATATATATATATATATATATATATATATATATATATATATATATATATATATATATATATAAATATGAACAGCAGGAGTAAATGGAGACTATACAGCGAGTAAAACTCTGTGACTACTTATACAAGCTGTAAAAGTGTATACATAATAACACTAATGCTGAAGCAATACTGTTTAGCTACAATATAACAGTGTATTCCCAAGTAATAGAAGTGATACTATATTATATATCACTAATAGCTGTAACAAGAGGGGGGGAGATAAGACAACTGCTAAACCAGTGCTGTCAATAGTTAAAATATGGATAAGTAAATCCCTACATGATAGTACAACTAACGACATGGGTTAACGCCACATACAATAAATGGGAAGGCTTGGCCTGCAGTTGTGGTAGGGGCTTGTTACACTACTTACCCCCCTACTCACCTACTAGTGTTTCCTTTTCCTGCTGTGTCATGCGCAGTCTTAAGCTACGTAGTTGCTGTTGCCAAGCGTTTTTTCGGTCCCGTCTCGGGGTGTGACCCGCGTTTTTACCTTTGGTTTTTGTTTCCCTGCTTGGCTGGGCCAAGTCTGCCCGCTATACCCATGCTCCATTATTTTACAGAAGGAGCATTACAGTCTGCTTTATGATTCCTCCCCCCCCCACCCCCACCCTCCCCACATCTTTATCACGCAGTGCATCCACTCTCTCACTCCTTACCCATCCCCTCTTAGTTAGCTGTTGCTGGCTGTTAGAGTCCTAGGTGCCCACTAGTGGTAATTTCCCCCAGGCTTCTTCGCCTTAGGTTAGTGGTCCCGTGAGGCCAACACCCATCCTCATACTCGGAGCTACTACGCCCCTCGGGCCAAATCATAGTTAGTCGCCTCACACTGTGGCATAGGGAGGGCCTCACCTGTCACTCCCATTCTATCTTATGTTACCGGTCACCGAGAGGCCGACACCCCGCCACAACGTTCAGTGGCCTTGTCCCCTCGCGCCAATGCATTGATAGAGCCTCTCCCGCCGCTTGGCATCTAGCAGGGCCTCACCTGTCACCAAACCTAGTTTAATTGTTTCGCCTTTGGCTTTAGCTAGTGTGCCAGCACTCTCACACACACTCTCATACTGGGTCTCGGGAGCCCCGTGGGCTTTTCACCACCACATACTCTATCACCTGTGGCCGGGATCGCTCCTCTTGGCTGACCGCCTGGACTCTGACGTGCTTACTCTGCTTCTCGGTTACGGTCGGCCCGGCGGTACTCGTTTCACCCTCACGTTTCTTTCGATACACGTTCATCAAATCCGTCCTCTCTCACGCTACCTTCCCTCTCCTCTTAGTTAGCTGTGGCTGGCTGTCAGGGTCATAGGTGTCCACTAGTTGTAATTTCTCCAGGCTTCTTCGCCTTAGGTTAGTGGTCCCATGTGTCAGGATTACTGTTTGATCCAGCACGTAGAACTGTACAGCACGGATGACAAATAAGTAACGTATTACCGGTCCTTAGAATGGCCGGATTTAACGTACAAAGAATAGTCAAAAATACTAGCCGAGGTCAGGGAACACAGAAAGGGACACAGCGATGAGGAAAGCCAGGAGTCAGGATACCAGAATATAGAGAAGTCAATAAACAAAGCCAAAGTCAAAAACCAGGTAGAAAACTATAAACAGGAACGCGCTCTCAGACAACCACAAGGGAAACCACGACAGGGCACTGAGCAGGCTGAGAACTGGGCCTAAATACCCCTCCTTTAGTTCTGATAGGCTGTAACCGGCCTTTGACCCCAAAGTCAGTTACCAGGTTTCATTTGCATAATTGCTGCTCAGCATTAACCCTTCTGTGGATTAGGTTGCTGCTCGGCACAACTTTTCCTGTGTGGACAGTAAATGTCATTAATCACTTTTCTCTAAGCGGATGAATACATGACACCAGGTTTCATTTGCACAATTACTGCTCAGCATTAACCCTTCTGTGGATTAGGTTGCTGCTCGGCACAACTTTTCCTGTGTGGACAGTAAATGTCATTAACCACATTTCTATAAGCGGATGAATATGTGACATTACCCCCCACCTGAAGAACGCCCACCGGGCGGACAGGACCAGGCTTGAGAGGAAATTTAGCGTGAAAAGCGCGGATCTTACGGCCCGCATGCAGGTCAGGAGCCGAAACCCAAGAACGATCAGCAGGACCGTAACCTTTCCAAACAACCAAGTACTGTAAAGTGCCCCGAGAAAACCTAGAATCCACGATAGAAGATACCTCATACTCTTCCTGACCACCCACCACCACCGGAGGGGGAGGAACACAAGGAACAGTGACCATCTAGCCTGTCTGGAAGACAAACGTTTGGCATCCCCTATATATGCCAGATTTTTGTGGTCGGTTATGATCAACAGGGGGTCCTTGGAACCCTCCAAAAGATGTCGCCACTCCTTGAGGGCAAGAATAATGGCCAACAGTTCTCTATTGCCAATATCATAGTTGCGCTCAGCAGGAGACATCTTTCTGGAGAAGTAGCCACAAGGATGCAATGGTGTTCCCTGGCTTTCTCTCTGAGAGAGAACAGCCCCTACCCCTGTCTCGGATGCATCAACCTCCAATATAAAAGGTTTACTGGTGTCAGGATGTTTTAGTATGTCCGCAGAGGCAAATCTTTGTTTAAGAGTCTCAAAAGCATTCACAGCCTCTTTGGACCATACCGTGCTACTAACCCCTTTGCGAGTCATATTTGTGATTGGGGCTATTACAGAAGAAAATCCCTTGATGAATCTTCTGTAATAGTTGGCAAAACCAATAAACCTTTGAATGGCTTTTAAACCAGAGGGTAATGGCCAGTGTAGTACAGCCTCTAGTTTTTTAGGATCCATTTGAAATCCCGATGCAGAGATGTTGTAACCCAAAAAGTGGACTTCAGGCTGGTCAAATATGCACTTTTCTAATTTACAATAAAGTTTATTTTTCAACAACGTCTGCAGAACCTGTTTCACATGGGAGTGGTGAGTTTGAAGATCAGGGGAATACACCAAAATATCGTCCAAATAAACCAAGACAAATGAGTAAATGAATTCCCTGAGTACATCATTTATAAAGTCTTGGAATACGGCCGGGGCGTTGCATAACCCAAATGGCATTACCAGATATTCATAGTGTCCACTACGGGTATTAAATGCCGTCTTCCACTCATGATTCTCTTTAATTCTAACCAAATTGTAAGCGCTCCTAAGGTCAAGCTTAGTAAATACTTTAGCTCCCTGAAGTCTATCGAACAATTCGGAAATGAGTGGGATAGGGTATGCATTTTTTACAGTGATTTTATTAAGTGCCCTGTAGTCTATGCAAGGGCGTAACTCACCACCCTTTTTCTCAACAAAAAAGAATCCTGCACCAGCTGGTGAGGATGACTTTCTTATGTGCCCTTTGCTCAAGGATTCTTTGATGTATTCCTCCATTATTTTACTCTCCTGGGGAGATAAGGCATAAACTGCCCCCTTAGGTGGCATAGCGCCTGGAAACAGGTTAATGGCACAGTCATATGCTCTGTGGGGAGGCAATACATCAGATTGAGCCTTGTTAAACACCTCCTGAAGTTCTCGGTATTGTATGGGAACTCCAGGAGTTTGGGGAGTGGTAGTGGGAAGGTCAATAGTATCCAATCTCTTTAGTACTGGTTTTATACATCTCCCCATACACTCTTTACCCCATTCTAATATCTCCCCATTAGCCCAGTCAATATAGGGATTGTGCTTACTCAGCCACGGAAACCCTAATATGATAGGACATGATGGAGAAGTAATAACCTGAAACGTCATCTCCTCCCTATGGGAGGCCCCAATGGAGATCGTAATAGGGACAGTTTCGTGGGTTATAAGCGGTTGTGTGAGTGGTCTACCATCAATAGCCTCTACAGCTAGCGGCGTAGGTCTCTCCCTGACCGGTATCTCATTACCCCTAATAAACTGGACATCAATAAAATTTCCAGCAGCACCTGAGTCCATTAGGGCACTGCAAGAAAACTTCTTGTTATCAAGGGAAATAGATACCTCAAGGAGGAATCTACTTTTGTTTTTGTTAGAGGACAACTCCATCACACCTAAGATCTGTCCCCTTAAGGTTCTTAGGTGCGGAAGTTTTCCGGACGCACTGGACAATTAGTTATCATATGTCCCTTTCTACCGCAATATAGGCATAACCCCTCCCTTCTCCTATACTGTTTTTCGGCCTCTGACAGTCTAGTGACCCCCAACTGCATAGGTTCGGGTTCGGACTGTACAGGGAGGTTAGACAAAACAGGTTTAGAGAATTGAGGTGCTAGGGACATAGCCGTACGTCTGGTCTTGCTTCTGGTGACTTCTCTGAGTCTTAACCTATTATCAATATGCATGACAAACGTAATAAATTCGTTAAGACTCTTAGGTAATTCTTTAGCGGCTATCTCATCTAGTATAGTCTCTGAGAGACCCTTTTTGAATGCTGAGATTAACCCATTGTTAGTCCAGTCTACCTCGGAAGCTAAGGTACGGAATTCAATAGCATAATCCGAGATAGACCGGTTACCTTGTCTGATGTGCATTAGGGCAGTGGAGGCGTCATCCTCTCTACCCAATGGCTCAAACGTGAGCTTGAATTAGGCAAGGAATTCCTGGTAATTATGAGCTATGCTCCGATTACTCTCCCACAACGGATTAGCCCAGGCAAGGGCCTTGCCCTTTAATTGATTCATTAGATAACAAATTCTTGCTCTGTCCGTGGGGAATGACCCTGGTGAGGCCTCAAAATGGTACTCCACCTGATTAAGAAAACCCCTGCATTCCTGGATATTGCCATCAAACTGTAGGGATGGTGATAAGGAGATGCAAGGAGTCCTATTAACAGTGGGTGGAGGTACACAGGGTAGAGGTGCTATAGGAGGAGACGCTGCAGGCTGCAGATGCTCCGTTCTAGCGAGAAGCGTACTTAAAGCCTGAGTGAATTGATCCATGCGGTGATCATTCTCCTCTAATTTCCTCTCGCAAGCAGCTATGTGCTGACACAGTTCTACAGGATCTATGGCCATGTCGTAATGTCAGGATTACTGTTTGATCCAGCACGTAGAACTGTACAGCACGGATGACAAATAAGTAACGTATTACCGGTCCTTAGAATGGCCGGATTTAACGTACAAAGAATAGTCAAAAATACTAGCCGAGGTCAGGGAACACAGAAAGGGACACAGCGATGAGGAAAGCCAGGAGTCAGGATACCAGAATATAGAGAAGTCAATAAACAAAGCCAAAGTCAAAAACCAGGTAGAAAACTATAAACAGGAACGCGCTCTCAGACAACCACAAGGGAAACCACGACAGGGCACTGAGCTGGCTGAGAACTGGGCCTAAATACCCCTCCTTTAGTTCTGATAGGCTGTAACCGGCCTTTGACCCCAAAGTCAGTTACCAGGTTTCATTTGCATAATTGCTGCTCAGCATTAACCCTTCTGTGGATTAGGTTGCTGCTCGGCACAACTTTTCCTGTGTGGACAGTAAATGTCATTAATCACTTTTCTCTGAGCGGATAAATACATGACACCAGGTTTCATTTGCACAATTACTGCTCAGCATTAACCCTTCTGTGGATTAGGTTGCTGCTCGGCACAACTTTTCCTGTGTGGACAGTAAATGTCATTAACCACATTTCTATAAGCGGATGAATATGTGACACCGTGAGGCCAACACCCATCCTCATACTCTGAGGTACTACGCCCCTCGGGCCAAATCATAGTTAGTCGCCTTGCATTGTAGCATAGAGAGGGCCTCACCTGTCACTCCCATTCTATCTTATGTTACCTGTCACCGAGAGGCCAACACCCCGCCACTCTGTTCAGTGGCCACATTGCCCCCTCGCGCCAACGCATAGTTAGAGCCTCTCACGCCGTTTGGCATTTAGCACCAAACCTATGTTTAATTGTTTCGCCTTCTTTGGCATTAGCTAGTATGCCAGCTCACACTCACGCATACACACACACACATTGGGTAGTGTATGCGCTGTTTTCTTCGTCTCTCTCTTAGCAGGTCTCCACTGCCTGGCGCTGGCGTGCTATTTTTCCACCTGGCTCTCTGGCTAGGTCTGGTACTCATCACGCTGTGGAGTTTCGGCTACTCCCTCTCATGTCCTGGTCTCTTCCTCACTTTGCTGTGTTTCTCGCCAGTCGACTTATTCCATCCCTAGCAGCCTTTTCGGTCAGCTGAATTCTCAGCATCTGTCTGCCTCCACGGGTGACGCTGTTGCCCGAGGGGCCCCCGAGTTTGCTTTTCCATCCTCCGCTACTGTTGTGTATAGGGCGGTTTCAGATTGGCAGTTTTGGGTAATTGGCGTCTGCTGCTCTGGCTGGATCCGAGCCGGACTTCCTGCACCTTTTTCATACGATCTCTCCTGTGCCTCCTCTACGCATTCCTCTTGGCTCTGCCTTCGGCCTCTCCCATAGCCGCTGCTGTCCCCTACGTATCGCGGTCTCCTAGCGGACTACCAGCCTTCTTAGCTCATGGTTGTCATTTTTCTCGTCTGGTTCTTTCTATTGACACTCGCGGTACAGGTATTAGGGCCTTCTCCTTTGTGGCTCCTTTCGCGTATTCTGTTACTGTCTTTTGCTAGGTTGTCTGCTTTTGGTTTTCGCTTCTTTTTGCCAACTCTAACTGGCGTCAACTCTACCTATTACAACTTCCCATGCTGTCTCCAACGTGCACGTTTCGCCAGTGAAGCTCATCAGAGGGCCCTCTGATGAGCTTCACTGGCGAAACGTGCACGTCAGGGGCTCTGGACACTTACTGACACATTATTGGTGTCGGCACCTAACTCTCTGCTTATCTATTGATAAATTACCGACATCAAGTTCATTCATGTCCAGCATCTCAGGAGTGCATATTGGAGACTCTTAACACTAATTTTGTGTACTCTGAACATACTTTATTTCTCTTTCTTTTTCCTTTATTATGTTTATGGGGGGAGATTGATAAGACCAGGCATTTTACTAAGGGGTGCCCTCGAAGGCACAAGACTCAGGAATCTTTATTCTATATGCCTTCCTCTGTCACTGTCTGTATATTTTCTACTACCTAGGCAACCTGTTCAAAAAACTGTTTGTAAACCCTCTCTTTATACTTTGACCTATTATTTAGATGCAGCTAGCACTTAGGCAACTTGCGTGACTCTTAACCGGTATATTTTCTACTACCTAGGCAACCTGTTCAAAAACTGTTTGTAAACCTTCTCTTTATACTTTGACCTATTATTTAGATGCAGCTAGCATTTAGGCAACTTGTGTGATTTTTAACCGGTTAACTGCTGCATGTCAGCAGTCCTTCACAGGTGAGCTACTACTTGGTGCTCCACTGTGGTCAAGCATAAGTTAACATCATTCAGTGCAGGCAGCCGTTGTTACACTAGAATATACTGCTAGGTATCTTGCAGAAAAAACGGAGCCAGGTCAGCAACCCCTTATTTTATACTTTACTGCTTGACAGCAATCTTTAATTTATTATCAAAGTGCTGCTATGGTCTAGGCAGCTTTTGTGATATTTAACTGGCTAATCGCCGTCTGTCAGAAATCTGTCTTAGCTGAACCATTATCTTTAATCTTTCCGAGGTTAAGCACCATAGAACCAGTGGCGTACATACCAGGGTCGCAAGGGTCGCGGCTGCGACCGGGCCCGGCCCACCAGGGAGCCTGGCCGCCCCTACGACCCGGTATGTAGCCACAGGGCCAGCCTCTTCTCCTGGGGGGCCCAGGAGCCGACCACCCCAGGGCCCCCCGAGGCTGGCCCTGCTGACACCAGGAAGGCAGGTGGCCGGTCGGGCAGGCAGGCGGGCGCGCGAGGGAGCACTCAGTGCTTCCTCTTCAGCTCCCTCGCGCACCGCACTGATGCCGGAGCCGGAAGATGACGTCATCTTCCGGCGCCGGCATCCCTACGCGGCGCGCGAGGGAGCTGAACAGGAAGCACTGAGTGCTCCCTCGCTCGCCTGCCACCTAGACAGCCAGCCTGCCCGCCCGCCCAGCAGCACCACTGGACCCCAGGGAATCCCCCCAGCACTCCAAAAGGTAAGGAGGCTGGGGGGATTACATTTAAAAAAAAAAAACATGTTTGAGTGTTAGAGTGTGTGTGTTAGTGTGTGTTAGTGTATTTGTGTGTTAGAGTGTGTGTTAGTGTATGTGTGTGTTAGAGTGTGTGTTAGTGTGTGTTAGAGTGTGTGTGTGTTAGTGTGTGTTAGTGTGTGTTAGAGTGTGTTAGTGTGTTAGTGTGTGTGTGTTAGTGTTAGTGCGTGTGTTAGTGTGTGTGTCAGTGAATGTGTCTGTTATTGGGGGTGTGTCTGCTAGTGAGTGTGTTACTGTGTGTGTCTGTTACTGAGTGTGTTTGATGTCTGTTAGTGAGTGTGTGTTTGTCAGTGAAAGTGTATGTTTTGTAAGTGAGTGTGTATGTATGTCTGTCGCTGAGTGTGTCTCTGTCAGTAAATGTGTGTGTCTGTTAGCTAGTGTGTATGCGTCTGTTCGTGAGAGTGTGTGTGTGTGTCTTCAGCATTTACCTTTCTCCAGCGTCGGACTCCCCAGTGTCCGCCACTCAGCTCCGAAATGCACATGCGCGGCAAGAGGCGTGCGCGCATTTAAACCACCCATAGGAAAGCATTACTCAATGCTTTCCTATGGACGTTCAGTGTCTTCTCACTGTGATTTTCACAGTGAGAATCGCGGAAGCTCCTCTAGCAGCTGTCAATGAGACAGCCACCAGAGGCTGGATTAACCCTCAGTGAAACATGTTTTCAGCTGCAGGGTTAAAACTAGAGGGACCTGGCACCCAGACCACTTCATTGAGCTGATGTGATCTGGGTGTCTGTAGCGGTCCTTTAAGTGTGTGTGCATACCGCGGTCGCGGGGTCGCAGCCCTGCAACCCCTGCGACCAGGGGCCCGCCACCATGTGTTGCGACCCCAACTCGGCGCGGGGGGGGGGGGCCCACGGATCAATTTTTGCACCGGGGCCCCATGGGTCAAGTGTACGCCACTGCATAGAACATTATCAATTATTGTATGTGGAGTTAACCCATGTCGCTAGTTGTACTATCATGTAGGGATTTACTTATCCATATCTTTTAACTATTGACAGCACTGGTTTAGCAGTTGTCTTATCTCCCCTCCTCTTGTTACAGCTATTAGTGATATATAATATAGTATCACTTCTATTACTTGGGAATACACTGTTATATTGTAGCTAAACAGTATTGCTTCAGCATTAGTGTTATTATGTATACACTTTTACAGCTTGTATAAGTAGTCACAGAGTTTTACTCGCTGTATAGTCTCCATTTACTCCTGCTGTTCATATTATATATATTTTTTTTCTTTTTTATATTTTTATTTTAGATTTATTTATTAAAAGTTACTTTTTAACCTACAATCTTCTCAGTAAATCATACACAGGTAGAATGGCATTTTTTTCTTTTTTGTTTATTCTCTATGATACATTTAATGCTTGTTTCATTGGGTGGGGGTTAGTGCTGGGCTAGTAAACATGGGACACTCCAGGCTCCCACACACATTAGATGCACTGTGTAGGTTAGGTTACAGTTAGTTATACTGGGTGGGTTTATATTATTAGAGGGACACTCCAGGCTACCACACACATTGGGTGCACTGTATATATTGACAAGTATAACACACTGTAAGCTAGGTGACACAGGGGTTTGTCAAGCCAGTGGCTTCCTACTGTGAAGTCTGTAGATAAGCCTGCAGTATGTCTATGGTAATACTGGTCATGTTTTTTTTTTTTTTTTTACTAAGCATTGAAATAAAAGGTTTTGGTCAAAATATGCAATTTCAGTTCAATAGGAAAACAGAGCTGTTGACCGTTTGATTATTTTAAAGCAGATCTGTCCATTTCAGTGGTGTTTGCACGTTTTGTGACTGCGGGGTGCTGGGGCTGTCCCGTGCTCTCGCTGCCATCTTTGTTTTGCCTGTCCCCTTTAGCTCTTGGTTCTCTTGCGAAACACTTGCACTTGTGACGGCTGCTGAGATTGGACAAAAGTTGGCTGCGGAGCTCCACCTTTGGTCAACCTTAGGCTTGCCCAGAAGACAAAGTAGTTCCTAAAATGTCTTATGGTATCTTTGGATTGCCCTGGGATTTATGAAATATTGAAAAGATACTGATATGCTTTAACTTTTTGCAGCTTTCAGTCCACAACTGTCCCTGAACAATGAGTCCGTCCTTCCCTATTAAAAGCATTCTATTGAGCGACTTGCACATTACTTGATCGATTCATTTGTAGAAATAGTCGTGCTTTTTTTTTCTGGGCAGGAAAGGGAGAGACTTATCACTGATAGTCAGAGAGATCTCGCCAATGGGTAAATAGGTGAGTAATATTTGGTTTTAGGTTACGGAGATGGTGTGCCTGGCACTTCTAGGATTAAAGTTACACTCCAATATTCACTT